TCAAGCTGTTTGGATTAAGGAACACCTAGAGGGACTGGAGAGATGGCTCAGTGGTTAAGAGCATTGGCTGCTCTTCCAGGGGATGCAGGTTAAATTCCCAGCACACATATACTGGTTCACAACCATCTGTAACTCCAGTTCTAGGGGATCTGATACCCTCTTTTGGCCTCTACAGGCACCAGGCCTGCACATGGTTCATAGACATATATGCAGGCAAAACACTTATGCACTTAACATTTTTGAATTGGAAAAAATAAATTCCTAGGGGAACTGGTCATTTAGCTCAGTTGATAAGACCTGATTTTCATCCCTAGAACTCACATTAAAAAAAAAGCCAGGTGGTGGTGGCGCACGCCTTTAATCCCAGCACTTGGGAGGCAGAGGCAGGCAGCTCTCTGTGGGTTCAAGGCCAGCCTGATCTACAAGAGCTAGTTCCAGGATAGCCTCCAAAGCCACAGGGAAACTCTGTCACAAAACAACAATGAAATCAGGCATGGTGGCATGCACTTGCAATCCCAATCCCAACCTGGGGCTTATGTTCCAGCCAGCCTACCTTCATCAGCATGCTTGCTCTTGACCACTGAGAGACTCTGTCTCAAATCACAAGGTGAACAGCACCTGAGGTTGACCTCTGACCTCCACACCGCTGACACACACATGCATGTGCATGCCCCTGGGTGGAAAATTCCACCAAGGAAGAAGGTTCCTTAAGGCTCAGAGGGTTTTATGTGAAAGCACTCCCTCTGTCCTGCTTGGCTTTTTGTCAGCTTGACATAAATGAATCTCAGAAGAGGGACCTCAATTGAGAAAATGCCTCCATCTGAGTGCCTATGGGCAAGTCTGTGGTGTGTTTTCTTGATTGCTGTGGGAGAGCCCAGCCCATGAGCTGTGACCCCAGGGTGTGTATGAAAGCAAAGTGAGGAAGCCAAGGGGAGCAAGCTGCAAGCACTCCTCCATGGCTCCCACTTCAGTTTCTTTACGCCTTGAGCTCCTGCCCTGCCTTCCTTTGATGATGAACTGTGACATGGACGTGTAAGTCAGATAAACCCTTTCCTTTCCAAGCTGCTTTTGGGTGTGATCTTTACCAGAGCAATAGGAACCATGACTAAGACAAAAGATGGTACCAGGAGTGGGGTGTTGCTGTGACAGACCAGTGTTTTGGGGAGGATTGTGGAAGGACTTTGGAACTTTGGGTTAGAAAAGCCATTGAGTGCTCATAGATTAATGAGCTATTGTAGGAACTTAGAAGATAATGCCGAGAGAAGTGCAGATAACAGAGGCCTGGCCTGTGAAACTTCAGAGGGAAGTTTGGGAGTCCCCTAAAAACTCTATTTGGACTGTTTGATATTTTTAATTGAAACTGTGGTTCTGGGAAGTTAGGGGTAAAGCTGTGATTAACAAGAGATCAGAAACACTAAAGTGAAATCTTTTCTTTGCTGGGACAATGGATGCTGGTCAGTTGGAGCTGTGTGTAAGAAGAGACCAGCGTCACTGAGGTGAAGTCTTCTGGGAAGTGTTTCCTCGGGGCCTGCACATAGAAGCTGTAGTTCAGAGAGAGTCAAGGCTGTATCTTGCACTGGCAGCTAAACTTGGTAATGTGTGGAAGTTTCCCAGGTGGTACTGGGTTTGAAGGCATGAAGAGGTCGTGAGGAGCAGGTAATGCTTTGCACTGTGTGACAAGGCTGGAGTCCCTGAAAAGAGGGCATTGGTGAAGGTGCAACTGTGGTTTGCAGTAGAAGCTCCTGTATTTGAGGGGTCGTGGAGAGAAGTTGAGGTTTGGCACCATGTGGCAGGGTCAGAGTCACTGAAGAGAGCCCAGAGGAGGCTGTTGGTGAAGGTGAAGCCTGGTTGCTGTAGAGACCTGAGCATTTTAGAGACGCCAACACCATGGGACAATCACCAAGGACACCAGCAGGTGTGGCGTGAGCAAGCTGGTGGACTGGAGTAGATTGGAGCTGGTCTCAGGCTAGGATACAAGTTTTGAGGCTGTGAATGAGGCAGAGCTGTTCAAGCCCTCTGGAGTCCAGAAATGAGACAGAGACAGCTGACACTTAAGTGAAAAAATAAAAATAAAAAGGAAAGGAAGCTTGGTTGCTCCTAGGTGTGGTGGGGGAGGAGGTTTATTGCAGATAAAAGGGAGACAGTCAGACATGGGCATCCAGCAGAGTCCAGAGTGGACACAACCAGACTGAGCTGTGCCATGTGGGGGGGGGGTGAAGGGGTGAGGGGGAGAAGGGAACCAGGAGCAGCAGCCAGGAGGCCAAAGGTACAAAGAGAGCTGGTAACCAAAATGGCTGCATTATATAGGGAAGAGTAGCCCAGCCCCCTGGGCTGGAAAGTTCAGGGTAGGGGGCCGGGTGTGCCCACCATACTCTGCAACAGGTAGGGACTGAGGGATGCTGGGAGAGCCTGGTGGTCAGCATCCACTTTGATATGTTAAATAAGCACCTCAGCCATTTGTCCCAAGTTTGAAAGCTACCAGCTCTGAGTTTGACACTGTAGGACGTCCGCCTTGCTTTGCTTTGGCTGGGACTGCACCTGGCTTTTCCCTCCTGGGTATTTAACTTTTTCTAAAGAAGACCACAGTCTAAAGACTTTGATGCACTAGAGAGAGAAAACTGAATGTCTTAAAAAGACTGAATTTGTAAAGTGTTTGAATTTTTAAAGACCGTGGAACTTTTAGAAGCTGGAATGTTTTGTATGGTCATCGTGGTATTAATATGAGCTCTTGGGACAAACAAGGAAGGAAGCTTCATGGCTTAATGGTGCTGCGTCAGGGGACAAGGGGCCACCCTCCATGCGGGCTGAAGAGATGACTCATGATTAAGAGCTCATGGTGCTCTTGCTGAGCTTAGTTCTTAGCTCCGAGACAGAGCAGCTTGCAACTGCCTGTAACCCCAGCTCTGGGGATGCAACACCTATGGCCTCCTTGTGACTGTAGGCATGAATTCATGCACCCTGACCCTGCACACACACACATAATTAAAAATAAGCTAGTCAGATGTGGGGGCACACTCCTTTAACCCCAGCACTCAGGAGGCAGAGACAGGCGTATCTCTGTGAGTTCAAGGACAGCCTGGTCTACATAGCCAGTTCTAGGCCAGTCAGGAATGCATAGTAGATCCGGTCTAAAATAAAATAAATATCTTTAAATTGCATGTACATTCTTTCCAGGAAGGAGGGGCACAGGGTACTCATGAAACTCTAAAAGCAAACAAATGTCACATGTCTGGGAAAGCTAAAACCCCCAAGATTCACAAGGCCCCCTCCATGGTTATAAAAACAGCAACAAGGACTGGAGGGGGAATTTACCCACCTGCCAGCTGCCTGCGGGCCCCAGGCAGAGCTGCAGGGCTGCAGTGTTCATGAGTCCCCAGCTATGATGGAGGGAGCTTGCTATGATGCCCCTGTGTTGTCCCTGCTCAAGCAAGGAACCTCCAAAAACCCACTGGGTCATCAAGCTGGACTTTGGAGTAATTGTTGTTGGTCATTTTCCTCCTCGCCCCTCCATCCCTCCTTTATCTCCCTATTGACCCACTGAGCTATGAGAAGGTAGCACCTTTCTCTCCATGCTGTCCTCACCGGGACGGTCCATATTCCAAACTGTGAGCTGAAATAAACTAATCCCTCAAGTGGCTTATACCTATTCTGTCACAGCACTCAAAAAATGGACAGACAGGATACAAGATACACAAATGGTTTCAAACAACAGCTGCCAGCTTAAAATGGGAATGCCGTAGTTTGATTTACTAAATTTATTTAGCTTTGTGTGTGTGCATTGTGTGCATGCGTATCTGTGTGCCATGTGCATGTCATGCCTGCAGCCACTAGAAGACAGTGTCAGACCTCCTGCACTGGAGTTACAGTTGTGAGGCGACACATGGGTGCTGGGAAGTGAACCCAGGTCCTCTGCGAGAGCAGCCAATGCTCTCAACTGCTCAGCCATCTCTCCAGCCCTTTGATTTTATTTTTCAGTTGTTTCCTTATAAATCTATGCCGCTTGAATTTTGACAATGGTTGTGTTTACCAACAAGCTCTTAATTCTTGAGGCTTCTCTTGTTGTTTTGTGAGCATGAGTGGGCACTGCGCTCAGCCTAGTTGAACGGCCTTGTCATTCACAGGGACTCTGCTTGACTTTTATGTTTGCTGTTTCCTTTGGGCGGCCCATTGCCAGAATGGAGGTTGTATATGTAAGGATTTGGAATGGACTTTTGACCGTATCTTCTCCAGCTAATAGATTGAGAACTGCTGCACAAAATAGGTGTTCAAAATAGACAAATGACTGCTCATAGGCGTTCAATAAATACTACTTGAAAAGAAAAAGAAAGAAAGAGAAGGAGACTCATGACCTAATAGTCTTGGGAAGTTATGGATAGCTTGCACAAGGCCAGCAAAATCTGCTATCTCTGTATCATACTCACGGTTCTGTGTCTGATGGAGGAGGACTGGGCCTGGATCCCTGGGTCTGAGGGAGGAGGCTGGGCCTGGATCCCTGGGTCTGAGGGAGGAGGCTGGGGCTGGATCCTGGGTCTGAGGGAGGAGGCTGGGCCTGGAGCCCTGGGTCTGAGGGAGGAGGCTGGGACCTGGATCCTGGGTCTGAGAGAGGAGGCTGGGACCTGGATCCTGGGTCTGAGGGAGGAGGCTGGGACCTGGATCCTGGGTCTGAGGGAGGAGGGCTGGGCCGGGATCCCTGGGTCTGAAGGAGGAGGCTGGACCTGGATCCCTGGCTTTCGAGTAGCCAGGGATGAAGATTGGAGATGAACAGGTAGAATGAGACAGACTGCTGGGACTTGAACTCAGCTGTCCTCCTCCAATTGTGACTAGCAGTGCTCTGTGTGTGCAGTTACCAGGGAAGGAGACAGCTCAGAGCTAGGGACCCCAGCACAGTAGATGGACTGTGATGGGCAGACCCCAGGGAAGGCTTCAGTGCTCCAGGCAGCTCCCTTTCACAGCACAGTGCTCGTGGGAATGGACGAATGAAGAGCAAGGAGGAAATTTGGGATGATTCCATTTTTGTTTTTTATTTATTTGGGTTTTAGAGACAGTAAGAGTTTTGGAAGCAGCCTTCTCTGGATGTGGATGCTGGCCCAGAGTATTTGTACTCTAGCTTCTTGACCCAGTGAGCCTCAAACTGTGACAAGCTATGAGAGATTCCAGAGCCAAGATCCTGGGAAGTAAGGGGGAACCTGGAGTAAGGGCAAGGATCCTGGGTCTGAGGGAGGAGGCTGGGGACTGGAGCCCTGGGTCTGAGGGAGGGGGCTGGGCCTGGGGACCTGGGTCTGAGGGAGGAGGGCTGGGTCTGGGGGCCTGGGTCTGAGGGAGGGGGCTGGGCCTGGGGGCCTGGGTCTGAGGGAGGAGGTTGGGGACTGGAGTCTTAAGTATGAGGGAGGAGAGCTGAGGAGGACTCCAGGGTCTGAGGGAGGAGGCAGTGGAGCACAGGGACATCTGGCAGCAAGAGGATAGTAATGGATGGTCAGTTGCCCTGCATTGTCCTCTGGATCCAGTTTTGGTAATTGCACAGGTTCGCATAGACCCCCGGGTAGCCAGGCATGGCGCATCGCTCCATTCCCCAGGACACAAGGCCCTGGAGCTGTCCTCCACACACCAGGGGTCCCCCAGAGTCACCCTGTGAGGAGGGGGAATGGGAATAGGCTCAGTCACAGGAGGTAAACAGAAGTCCTCCTCACCTGTGACTCCAGCCGCAGGCCAGGCAGTCACTCCCCTCTGCACCGTCACCATCCCAGTCTCCCTCCACGGATCTGATGCCCCCACCTCAGCCATAATGTCTCCAGATGACTCTGTCTCTTCACACCCCTGGCCTTTGCCTCTCTCGCTGTTAGCTTTGGATTTCCACAAGTCCCAGCAGTTCCCCCAAATTCCCCTATGCACACATATCACTATGCTGCTTCTACAGGTCTAAGAAGCTACTTAGACAAAACAGGAAACTGAGGCATAGTAGGGCTAAGTCCAAAGGAGCATGTGGCTACAAGGCAAGGCATCTGGGTGACTCCTGTACTCTGTGCTCCTGAGGTCTCTCTCCAGCCACATCCTCTGACTTTTCTGTTATTGAGAGACTGTGGTACCCAAGACCAAGGGCCAAATCATTGTAGAAACCAATCTGGGCCTCACCTGACAGGAGTCCTTTCCACCTTCAAGAACCCCAGCACAGACCATGCCAGATGTGATGGCTCCAGAGTAGGCTCGGCGGCACGCCTCCTCGGACATGATGTTGACGTTCACACACTGCAGAGCATTGGGGTACCTGGCTGAGATGGGGTGCAGAAAGGTCACAACTAGAGAACTGTGAACCCAGGGGTCAGCCTCCTCCCTCAGACCCAAGGGTCCAGCTCCTTACCAACCGGGCTGGCTGTGGTCCCCCAGCCCGACACCCGGCAGGGAGTCCCTGGGCTGGCACAGAGCCTGGCCACACCGATGGTCCTCACCGCTCGGCCCAGCCGCACTCTCTTCTGCAGCTGCAGCAGCATCAAGTCATTGTTATGGGCCCGGGGTTGGTACTGGGGGTGTGGCACCTGGCGCCCCACACGCACCACCTGCTGAGTGGCTTCCCACCTTCTTAGGTTGTGCTTGCCCAGGGCGGCGTGAAGAATCCTGTCCCACAAACCCCAAGAGTAAATGCTGCTTATAGGCTGACCACAGAGCAAGACCCATCTTCTGTGTCTACCCATTGTCCCTCTAACTGTGGGCTGAGCCTCTTTGGCCTCGTGTGTCTCTCCTTCCTCACGGCCTGGACGTTCTCTCTTTGCCAACCTCACTGGCACTCCATCTTCTCATGGGCTACCTATCCTCAAGCACAGTTTGTAGTCCTTCACTCAGTCCCAGAGTCCATGCGGGGTTCTCAGCTTTAAGTTCTGGGTAGGCCCTGAGGGAAGCTAGGTCCTCCATGTCAGGGCTCCACACTCTGAGTCATGCCTCTCAGTCTAGATTCTTTTTAGACTCCAAATCATGACCCAGCTTCTGCGCTGTGTTCTATACATGGATCTGGGTTTACAGCTAAAGTCTGGAACCCCGGAATCTGTAAGTTATGGACGTAAGAACAGGAGAGATCACTCACGGGCGGGCACAGTGAGCAGCAGTGATGACCCACTTGTCTGACAGCAGGACCCCGCCACACACGAAGCGACGCCCAGGACCTGCTAGCAGGGCCACTTGCCACGGCTGGGAGTTCTGGATACACGTGTAGCCACCAATAATTTTATGATCTCCTTGACTCTGGGCAATGGCTAGGGGAAACAGGTGGGTGGGAAGAAGATGAACAAATGTCCTCTAATCCCCAACTCTGTAAATGTCCAGCATACAGAGATGTTCCTTGTGACCCAACACCTAAACCGCCCACCTCTTTCTGCTCTAGCAAATGTGATACGCATTCATCATTGCCCCCAACACGAACGGGGCCTTCTCTGACTCCTTCCTCAACTGACCTCCATGGTTTCTGCTATTGTGTTCATGTCCAATTCCTCTAGGGCCTTGTGCAGTCTTTGACTGCTCAATCCCGTGAGCACTTTCTTTCCTTTATGTTGAGAAGATGTCTCACTATGTTGGAGGCTGGCTTTGAACTCCCAGAGTTCTTCCCACCTCAGCCTCCCATATGCTGGAAATCACAGTACACACCAGCATTCATAGTTCACGTGAATATTTGTGTTTTTCTATTTCCATGTGGTATGCATTTGCACATGGATTTGTGCATGCATATCTGTGTGTGCATGTGTGTATGTGTGTGTGCACGCACGTGTGTGCATGTGTGTGGGCTCGCATATGCATGGGTGCATGTGTGTTTATGTATGCACATGTGTGTGGAGGCCTGAGGGTACGCTGGGGATTTTCCTTGATCACTTTTCCATGGTATGCATTGAGGCTGAATCTCTCAATCTAAGCCAAGGCTCGCCCTCTGGGGTAGTCTCGCTAGCCAGCGTCCCTTAGGGATTCCCCGAATCTGCCTTGCAAAGTTGGAATTAAACAATGCCCATCACAAACAGCTGCCGCCGCCTATGCCGTTCTGGACATCTGCTCATGGCAGGGAGGCAGCTGACGTAACCAACTGCTTCCCACAGTGAGCCACACACCACTCTGTCCAACTCAACACACGAGCTCCCCTGTCCTTCCAAACCTTCCCCCTCAGCGTGGGCCCTCACTCTTCCCCCAGACTCCCTCCCACTCTCAGACTCCACTTTCATCTTCCCTGAAGTGGCCAGATCAGCCCCATGGCCTCTTCAGATAGAAGCCACCTGAGAAGTCAGAGTCTTCCCTAATTCCTTATTTCCTCCATTTCCTGGAGCTGCCGTTCTCCCCAGTCCTATTTCCTGGAGTCTCCAAACTTGGAATGAGGGCATGAGCGTCTACTTAAGTGATGTCTTCTCTGTCTGTCTGTCTGTCTGTCTGTCTGTCTGTCTGTCTGTCTCTCTCTCTCTCTGCCTGTGTCTCTGTGTGTAGAACCCAATGATTAACCCAGGTGTCATTTATCAGGCACCATCCACCTTTTTGGGGGGCAGGGCATTAGTCTAGACCGGCTGGTTAGTGGGCTCCAGGGTGCTCCTGTCTTCTTCTTCTGCCTCCCCAGTGCTGGAACTGCAACACCCCGCTGCAGGAATTGCAACACCCCGCTGCATCCTTTTTTTTTTTTTTTTTTGAGTGAGCTCTGGGGAGATTAAACTCAGGCCGTTGTATTCACAAGACTGAGCCATCGCAGCCCCTCTGGGTGCTTTCTAACCAGGCTGTCCCCAAGAGCATATTTATACCCCAGACGCCATCCCTAGCTCATCCCAGAGTCTCCAGGAACCCCGTTGCTCTTACCTAGAGCCAAGGCTTGCAGTAAGGTCAGTAGAAGGAGCATCCTGGAGCTGCGAGCCCAGCTCTAACGAATTTAAAGAGCAGGTGGAGGAGGCAGGAGCAGATGCAGATTCAGGGACAGTAGTGCCACTCACGCCGAGGCCCAGACCCTCGGTGACATGGGGGCAGAACAAAGTGAGAGGCCAGAGCTGGGAGGTGGGGGCCACAGGCTCCTCTGGATGTGAGAGCAGATGCCTACCAGGCTCCTCGCAAGTGTGAAACAGGCAGGGTGGCGTCCTTCCTGGACACGCCAGCAAAGCCTTTTATCCCTGATCTGGGCAGCTGGCCCTGCCCCCCCCACCGCCCTTCTGACTTTTTTTATTGCCTAGTTTCCATTCCCAGATACTCTTGCTCCCTTCCCTCCCATCTCTGGCCAGAGAAGCAGACACAGTTATTAATGGGAGCCCGCCCTGTGAAAGATGCTATAATCTGGAATCGGGGGAGGGTTGATCACAGGCAAGGAGGGTGGGAGAGGTGGTCAGCCCAGTCAGAGTGTGCAGTGGATGGGTAGAATCTGGGTAGGGGCTTCAAAGATGACACTGGAAGACGGCAGAGGGGGAGACAGACAGGCAGACAGGCAGACAGACAGACAGACAGAGACTCAGAAAGAAAAGGAAACAGACCCAGAAACAGAGACAGGGGTCTGTGGTGTGTGTGTGTGTGTGAGAGAGAGAGAGAGAGAGAGAGAGAGAGAGAGAGAGAGAGAGAGAGAGAGAGAGAGAGAGAGAGAGAGAGGGAGAGAGAGAGAGAGAGAGAGAGAGAGGGAGAGGGACACAGACCCAGAGAAGGAAGGAGAGATGAAAGGTGAGTTGAGGTGAGCCTGTAGTAGGCCTTGGAGCTGGGGGGTCCCATTGCAACCTGCCCCTCTTAGTTCCTCCCCCAGCCTTTTAAAATACCTAATGATTATAATTTTTCTCTGGGCCTTGACAGTCCCATGCCTGGACCACGCGGTGACTCACAGCCTGCAGTCTCTCCTCACCCCACCTTGCTTCCCAGTGACATTCTTCCTGGAGAAGTTGCTTGTGGCTGTCTCTCTGGGATGGTGCTTCTCCTGGGCCCAACAACACACCTGTGGAAGTCTGCAAGCCTGGCTCTCTCTGAACTATTTCTGCTAACCAGGGCCTTCATTTACCAATTGATCTGGAGGCCCAGCAGCAAGATGAGTGTGGAAAGACATTCAGGCAGAGAGAAGGACTCTCTGATGATACAGGATCAGAGGCACAGGGCCAGCCCCACTGTGACAATTCATGCTGGGTCCTACACAGGAGAAAATATCAGAGAAACCCATATGCATATGTGCACACACTCAGATGGATGACCTTAAATAAGCAATAAGCAAACTCAGCATGTCCATCTCCAGGCTTGTACTGGGATCCAGGTAGACCAGATGTCACTGGTAGAATGACTGGATGAGAGGTACATGGGTTTCTCCTTTCTGTCTGTGAAACTAAGGCTAACTGTGTAATTATCTTCATGAGAAGTGTAAAGGACAATTGGATTCCTTTTCCTCAGAAGAATGCCCTGAATGGTGGGTATGGTGGCTCACACCTGTAGTCTCAGCACTTAGTAGAGGCCGAGGCAAGGGGATTATCATGAGTTTGAGGCCACCCTGGGTGATATAGTTCCATGCCAGAAGAAGGGGGGGAGAGACCAGGAAGAAGAGAAAGAAGGGGAGCAGAAGAGGAGGTAACAAAGGGTCATGGTAACCACAGGGCTGCTGGCAGAAGGATGGGGATGAAGCCATGAAGGAGAGAAGCCTCCATGAGCTGCCAGCACATCACAGCCTCATCACAGAAGTGTCTTCTTCCTCTTCACACCAGATTCTGAACTCCGCAGAGCTCACTCAACTTGTTCAGCACCTTTTTGGTTTCCATGGCGCGGTCACTTAACAATTTGTGACGACTGAATGAATGCACTAATGAACAAGTGCATAGCATCATCTCCAAGCTCACTGTCTGGTGGGGCAGGTCGACATGACACGATGTAATTCGATCCTGTTAGAGCCCCGGGCAAGCTCCAGGGTTCCGCAGATGAATGGAATTCTCCTGGATGCGAGTGATGAAAAGAAGCCTGGTGGAGATTGCCAACAGGAGTGTATGGTGTGCACAGAGCCTGAAAGAGACAAGCAAGGAAGCCCGCAGCTTAGAGGGCAAAGAGAAGCAACCTGGGGCCCCGGAAGGAGCAGTGAGGAAGCCAGGATGATGAAGAGGGAGAGAGAAACGTCCAGTCATCTGTTGGATAGTGGGTGCATGTACCTGTGTGAAGGAGCAGGACACCTGGGTCCTACTCTATTGTTCTCTTTCTATTCCCTTGAGGCAGGATCTCTCATCTCCATCAAGTCCCCGAGTTCCTCTTGTCATCACCATCAAATCATTGGGGCTACAGGGTTGCATGGGGTCAAAACTGGGACTTTTTAATGTGGATATTGGGAGTTTGAACTCAGATTCTCATGCTTAAGCAGCCAGCTATCAGCATGGAACCATCTCCCCACCCTGCAGTGCTTTACCTGCGTCTATGAATATGTATCAGGTGTGTTCCTGGTGACCACAGAGGCCGGAAAAGAGCACTGAATCCCAGGAGCTGGAATCCCAGAGAGTTGTGGTCCACTATGTAGGTGCAAGGAACTGAACCTAAGTCCTCTGCAAGAGCAGTAAGTGCCCTTAACTTCTGAGCCATCTCTCTAGGTCAGCTCTGAGACACTTCTAAATGGAGTAGTATCAGAGAGACATTTTTGGAGGTAAAGGGTTTTAAAGGTGTAGTGTGGGGACGAGAGCTGAGGGAAGCTGTGAATGGGGAAGAGGAGGGACAGCTGGGTGTCCTGGGAGACAAAGATCGCAGTATTGTCCTGTGCCTTTTCCCTGTCAACTGATTTCAGGACAGGTCCGTGGGACTAAGTGTATCCATACTGCTGTGCTCCATCCGTACCCACCTCACCCACAGGCCTTGCTTCCCTCCCTCCTCCTTCCCTCTGCCCCTCCCCTTCCTCCCTCCCCCCTCTCTTCTCCCTCCTCTCTCTCCTTCCCTCTCTCCCTTCCTGTGTGTGTGTGATGTGTACATGTGTCAATCTTCAAGTGTGAGTGTGTGTGTGCGTGCGTGCGTACGTTTGTGTGTGTGTGTGTGTGTGTGTGTGTGTGTGTGTGTGTGTGTAAGCCAGAGGTTGGGTGTCTTTGATTGGTCTCCAACTTACTCTTTAAAAAAAAAGTATGTTTTTATTTGTGTGCACGAGCCCCCCTCCCTCCCTCTCTCATGTGTGTGTGGGGTGCATGTGTGGAACACAGAGGACAACTTATAGGAGTTAGTTCTCTTCCTCCATCATGTAGAGACCTGGAGACGGAACTCAGGTCATCAGGTTTGGCAGCAAGTGCCTTCATCCTCTGAGCCACCTTGCTGGCCCCACCCCTGGATCTTAAAGATGGGTTTTTATGTAGCTCAGGTTTGTTGTGAACTCACTCTCTTCCTGCTTCCGCCTTGGGAGTGCTGGGGTTACGAGTGTGCTCCTCCATGCCCAGCTTTCCCAGCTATGTTCTTTTTGTTTTCATCTTGAAGCAGGTCGTGTATACCAGGTTGGCCTCAAATTTGCTTCATATGAGAGGATGACCTTGAACATTCTGATCTTTCTGCCTCCACCTCCTGAATGCTAGGATTTCAGACACACATCACCATGCTTGGTCATTCCAGTGCTGGGGATGGAACCCAGGGCTTCATGCAAGCCAGACAGACACATGCTAGGCAGACACACGCAAGGCAGACACACGCTAGGCAGACACACGCTAGGCAGGCACCCTACCCACTGAGCCACATCCCTAGCCCTCCAGCTCTGTTCTTCATGCAAGCTTGCTTCTTCCTTCCTGCTCTTTCTATTCTCCAACCTACCTACCTACTAATAATTCAACTAATATTTAACTAATAATTACTAAGCATCTACTGTGTATCTATCTAGCATGATTCCAGGTACCAGAGGGCACAGCAATGAACAAAATTGGCCAAATAAGAATGGATTCTGAAAGGAAAAAGTAGATAAATGTGATATGTAATTATGTGTCATATACTATTAAGAAACTATATGAGAAGAAGCAGGGCCTGGAGAGATGTCTGGGAGGTAAGAGTGAGCCCTGCTCTTGTGGAGGACTGGGGTTTGATTCCCGGTACCTACTGTAGACTGCTCACAGCTGCAGATCCAAGGGATCTACCACCCCCTTCTGGCCTTTTGGGACACTCACCAGTGTGAAAATACAGAAACAGAAATACCCATCAGCACATAATTGAGAATAATAAAAAGTGCTTTTTTAAAGGGAGACAGAGTGCTTTGGGGTAAGGGTCTGGCGGACGTGAGGCCAGTATGTCTGTCTGGAACAGAATAGAAACCGAAGGGGTGTGTATGTGTCATGGAAAATCTGTGGACATCATCTCACGTCAGAATCACGGACTGGGAAACTGAGGTTGATTGAGAGGATGTGGCATGTTTACCTATCTGAGAAGAGAAGGAGGCAGTGGGCCATACCCACAGCTGTCCTGAATCTTTCTTGTGTCCCCTGGGAACACTGCTAACTTGTCAGCACATCTGTTTATGTGACCAATAGGATTTCATGCCATATTGAACAGATTAACTCACCAGATCCTCCCCTACCTTCGTGAGAACTGAAGCATCCCAGCGCCACTCTGGCCTTTCATTGTCCTGCACAAGGAAGTCAAGATGAAGTCAGCTCCCTTGTCCAGGGTTGCACAAAGCTGGGCAGACACATGGTGATCCGAACCTGGATGAAGGGCTCTTCCCAAGCGCAGTTGGGAAATAGTCAAGCGGATGGCACGGCTGGCTAGGTGGCGAGATTAGATCAGACAAGGGGAAGGACGCCTCTTCCATTGTCCAGGGAGGAAGAGGGAAGGGTGAGGTTGTGTGTGGGTTGTGGGTCTGGTGGCAGGAAGTGGGGACACGCCTGTCTAGTGGCTTGGTCTTTTCTCTTTGTTTTTTTCTGAGAACGTCCCCCAGTTCATCTTCAGGGCCACGCACACTCAGGCGAGCTGGGAAGTACTGGAAATGACTGGGAATCGGTGTCCATGTCACCGCAGCGGCACTGTTTTGGCAAGTGGCCAGAACAAGGAGGCCAAGAAGGCAGCTGCAGGATGGGTGCTGAGCCAGGAGAGCTAAGAATGGTCAGGGACCAGGGGTGAGGAAGAAATAAAGGCAGGAAAGCTTGGGGGCCAGACCTGCCGTGGGCGGGGCAGGAGTCTTGGGGATGGAAAACAGCTGCGGGTGAGTCACCCACAGCACCCACTGGAATTGCGCCTCCCAGGCGGAAGCCTTCCTGAAGTGGGACTTCCTATGGCTCAGCTGGGCTATGGAAAAGGGCTTTGGGGGAGGTGGTCTGTGGCCGTGGGAAGATCACAGGCCTCTGAAGCTGGTAGGGCCTCTCTCTCTGGACTCTTGACCTCACGTTGCATGGTGCTGGGCTAGGCAGTCTCTTGACACCCCCAGCTTCCCAAGGCTCTGCTTGCTTGTGACAGGGTCTCAAGACTGGTTTTGAACTCTATGTATCTTGGATTTCTGGTCTTCCTGCCTCCAGCTCCCGAGTGTTGTGATGACCTCCCACCCCTTTTCAGGGTTGGACTTCTTCCTGTGTTAAGTCTCAGCTCTTCTTACAAATGCTGACACATTTTACAGGTGAGGTGACAGATCTGAGTACCAGCCCTCCTGACTCAATGTCCCTCTCTGGCTTTAGAACTCAATGTGACTCTCTGGTTACCCAGGCTCCCTCTGGCAGAGGAAGAATCTGTGGAGTCCAAAAGAGCATTAGATCTCCTGGCTGGAGTTACAAGTGTTTGTAAGCTGCTCCAGGAGGGTGCTGGGAACCCAACTCTAGTTCTCTGGAAGAGCAGCATGTGCTATTAATCACTGAGCCATCTCTCCAGCCCCATCTCTACATGCTTCTAAGTCAGCATCCTGACCCAGCAATGCCTGCTAACACCAGGCATCCTGGATGGCAGTGGACCTCCTCTAACTCCCGTGGCTACACTATCTCCCATTTATTTCCGTTGAAGCTCTGTGCTCCATCAGAAACCAACCGGCTGCTCTGGTCAAGAGCTGGGAGTGGTCCCTAACTCCTGCCCACAATCCCACCGCCACATTGGCAATTCTCTTTACCTTAGTTACAGAAGAGAGCAGGGGGCCCACCCTCTCACTTCCTCTCAGCCTGTTTCATCCGGTCTCCATTTTCTGTCACCTGCACATAAACTGGTCTCCACGCTCACTTAACCCCCTGCCACCCCACGCCAAGCCCATGTATCAGCTATGCTCTCAAAACTCAAAAGAGCACATTGCCAAAATCCAAGTCCTTGATGGAACTGTAATAAATGCTAATGCCCCTAGGCAATCAGCATCTAGATTTCACTCATCTTCCCAACCTCACCTTCCCATCATGTCCTTTGCCTCAGACCCCCATGCTTCTTGGATATTCTTGACACGGTTGGTACCTTCCTACCAAGGGACTTGTCATTGCTCTTCCCTCTCCTGGACACACTTGCTATCACCCTGCCTGGCCATCCCTCCCATTACCATCTCTGAACTGAGTATTCTCTTCATGTCCTGTGCTTATTTTCTCCTTCCTATGTCTTATTTCACTCTGTAATTGTTGTGTCTATTTCCTTGACTCTCTCTCTCTCTCACACACACACACACACATACACACACACAGGTGTGCACATGCATGTGTGTGTGAGCATTCATCACTGTTTAATGTCCTTCATGTTTTATTTATTTTCTTATTCAGAATGCAAATTTGTCTCCCAACAACTGGAGTGTCATCTCTGATGAGGACAGTGTTCACCTGTGGCGGGAAGGGATGCGCGTCCCAGAGGACGTGTGAGGGCAGGGACTTTGCCTACCTGGTCCACTGCCGAATCTCCAGTACCTAATCTGGTTACTGGTGTGTGTGTGTGTGTGTGTGTGTGTGTGGAATATGGGTGCCTTCAGAGACCATCAGATCTCCTGGAGCTGGAGTTACAGGATGTTGTCAAGCACCCGGTGTAGGTGTTTAGGACTAAGCTCGGTCCTCTGCAAGGGCAGTACATGCTCTCGGTGTACAAGGCTCTCTCAAACCCCATTTATACAGGCTTTGAACCCACACAGGAGATTTTAAAGTCGAACACACTCAGTGTCAGTGGGAGTCTCAGCTCCTGGTGAGAGGTTCTTGATGCCCTGTACCTGTTCTCAACATCACCAAGTGGGGGCCCCAGCCTTAGTCTCCTTGGACTTTTCTGGAGAGCTTTTTGTTTTGGGACAGGGTCTTATGTAGCCAGGCTGGCCTCCACCTTACTGTGTGGATGAGGATAACCTTCAACTCATGATCCTCCTGTTTCTGCTTCCCCAGTGCTGGGATCACAGCTGTGTGGACCACCACACCCAGTTTATGCGGTGCTGGGGATGGAGACCAGGGCTCCGCATATGCTAAGCAAGTGATCTTCCCACGGAGCCACATCTGCAGCCCAACCCTGTCTGCTTTGAGCTTTTTCTGAGAAGCGCTGTCCCCATCTAGGGCGGCATCCTCCCTCCCGTACCTGAAGCAGCGATGCTCCTCGAGGGGACAGGTGCCTCCTGAGTTGTGGACTCAGGTCTACCACCATTCTACCAGGCAGTTTCTCTCCCTCGCCCCTTTCCTGGCCTCAGTCTTACTCAGCTCTGGGTCTTGGTTTAAACATCACCTCCGCATTCTATGACACACCGCACTGAGCTGGGCGCCCCACCTCTGGGCTGTGTCCTTCTGAGCCCTCACAATGGCGCCAGTGGCATGTAACCCTCTGGTCCCAACTTGTCAGTGCCTGTACTTGCTCCTGCCACCAGAGGGAGAGCCCACTGAGGGCAGGGGCCGCAGCTGACTCAGCTATTTCCCCACCATTCTAGGCTGGGCAGATCTGGGAGCTGTCAGGAAATACCTGCAATCCCGATCCTTATCTTTCTCTGCCAGGAGTGAGAGCATCAGGGCTCTCCCCCTGTCTCCTCTGGCCTGTCCTCCAGCCTCAGATTTCAGGCTTGCCATTCCTTCTGCCACAAACACTTTCTGCAGTCAGCAAAGCATTGTGCCCTACTTTACATGGCTCTGTGCTGGGGGCGGGGCTTCTCCTGAGTCCACCCCTTTCCTGCTTAAATGGACAGGACACAATGCCCACTGACACCTGTCAGCACCTGCCTGCTGCAGCATATTGTGTCCTGTACCCCGTTTCTGTTCATTTCTTCCCACCTCTCTCCTCTGGTCTCCCTCTATTTTCCTGGCCCTTTTCTTTTCCTTCTCTGTCCTTTAGGTTCTGTCCTGAGCGGCTTCTGCAGTTAGCTGCATCACAGGTCTCATGCTCTGAGTGTGAGCAAGGCATGGACACAAGCATCTTTGTGCAAACTCCTCCAGTTCCAGGGCTCACCAGATTCTGCAGGCTGATGCTGTCTGGGCCTGGGCTGTAAAGACAGCTTTGGAGTAAAGGCCTCCTGGTGTGCACATGTGGTCACAGCGCCCTCTATGGCCACATCTGAATACAGCACCTCATACTAGAAGCCAGGGATGAGGGCAAAGTTCCCCCGGGATGCTCTGGAAATAACAGGTGCCCTGCTGTGCATGTATCAGGAAACAGGTCCTCTGGCTCCCTCCCCAGTCACTGCTAAGTGATTCTGGGAAAGTTACTTGGCTGGATTGCATGTTCGGCTACCATAAATGGGATTAAACATACATTACTCTCATATTACTGCTCTAACAAGGGAAGAACGCCCCCTTGGCATGAGGCCAGCCCTACAAACGCACAAGCTTGGAGCAGTACAATCTGCCTGGAGAATCTTCAGCTCCACCTCCCCCGCCCCCAGCCCCTCTTCCTATCCACAGCGGCTTCTCTTTACAGCAGCCAAGGGATTTTCAGAAAGTGGTCATTGGACAGCCTTCATTGTTAGGATAAAAACTAAGGATTCCACACACCTGGCCCAGCTCGGATCTGGTTAATGGGAACCCCCTTCTGGTCCCCGAAAGGGATCAAGGTTGTTCCCATACCCTAGCTGCTGAATTGGCAGTGCCTTCCTCCAGAGGGCACTCTTCCTCAAGAAACTTTGGAGCAAGCCTGCTCAAAGGCCTTTCCTTCACTGGCTTCTTCCTCCCTTCCTCTGTTCTACTTAAAACAAACCTTTGCACTGGAGATGAAGCTGAGAGATAAACTGTCCAGAATCCCCAGGAGGTGTGGCTCAGTCGCAGAGCCCCTGCCTAGCTTCCCCAGTGAGTAGCAGGGGGTGTGGTTCAGTGGCAGAGCCCCTGCCTAGCTTCCCCAGGGAGTAGCAGGGGGTGTGGTTCAGTGGCAGAGCCCCTGCCTAGCTTCCCCAGGGAGTAGCAGGGGGTGTGGTTCAGTGGCAGAGCCCCTGCCTAGCTTCCCCAGGGAGTAGCAGGGGGTGTGGTTCAGTCGCAGAGCCCCTGCCTAGCTTCCCCAGGGAGTAGCAGGGGGTGTGGTTCAGTGGCAGAGCCCCTGCCTAGCTTCCCCAGGGAGTAGCAGGGGGTGTGGTTCAGTGGCAGAGCCCCTGCCTAGCTTCCCCAGGGAGTAGCAGGGGGTGTGGCTCAGCTCTGCATTCAATCTCCAGCATTGAAAAAGAAAAAAGTGACAGTCACAACCACCCGGTATTTATTAGCATACTGTCCTTTTCTCCCAGGCTGTAAATGCCTGTAGGGAGAGGCTCCTGCCCCTGCTCACTGCAGCGTTCTGGCACCTAGAGGACCAGACAAGAAATGTCCAATATTTGCTGAAAGAATAACCCCAGCAGAACCTGAAGGAGGCCATCCATCTTGGTCTTTCAGACCTAACTTAATTAGGAAAATGGGTACCTATGGAGTTCAAGAAGTCCACCGGTCACTTCCATGAGGACAGGACTACAGAGGCTAAGAAGCACCTTCTCCAAGGTTTGGGGAGGATCAGGGACAGTTAGTGCAGAAGAAAGCTAGCTTTCGAGGAGCCGAGTCACCCCTGGAGGTGGGACTGACACCACCCAGCACGTCTCCTCAGACTCTCAATTCCCTATATGGCCAGGCAGCACCCAGGAGCCTGGAGCCCCCTGGTGGCCAGCCCTTACGATGCAGCGCCGAGCTGAATATGGATGGCCAACTAATTTGACCACTGGAGTCTCATCTCTGCAGAGATGTGATGGGGTGAAGGCAAGACAGTCCTATTTTCACAGGAAGAAATGGCAGATTGGAGAGGTTAAGGCAGGGTACCTCCACGGGGCACCGTCACTCCACTGGGCTCAGGTCCCATAGACACAGGTAGCTCTGGAAGGACAGGGCATGGCAGAGCAATCATTTCACAGTGCACAGATCACTTCACAGGCACAGGGTGCAGTCACTTCCGAGGGCACAGAGCATTGAAGAGTGCAGGGTTCAGGTTACTCCGTGGCGCTAAGGTCACTTGGCACGACACAGGTGGCTCCTGCACAGTCCCCTCCGTCCCTGCACGGGCTGGCTCCATCTCTGGATTGCTCACAGGTGCACGGTCCCTGTAAGGCCACAGGGTCACCGATGGCCTGGCTTGGGTTCCCGGCCAGTGGAGGCTTGGCTTGCAACACGCGGCGGCCCTTGCCGATGGCCAGGCGTGGTAAGCCTCGGTTGAGGCCATCCAGGAGCGCACAGGCCTGGCAGAGCGTGTGACTGGCCAGCGCCCCGCAGCGGGAACAGGTGCCTGGAGGAGGGGGCCGAGCGGCCGGGGCAAGAGCCAGGCGCTCCGCCGAGTGCACGAGGTCCAGCACTGCCGATGGCCGCGCTGCCTCCAGGCGCTTGAGCAGGTCGCGAGCGTGGCCACGGAAAGCCTCGGGCGCGTACACGCACTCCTCTGAAAAGTAGCGCAGGCGGCGGAAGTGCGCGTACAGCACCACCTCCTTCTGCGAGGCGAACTGCAGCGGCCGGCACCGCGGGAGAGCGCACCCCTCGCCCGCAGAGCCCAGCCCTCCGCCCCGCGCCAGCCGCCCCGCATCACCGCGCAGGAAATTCATGAGCACTGTCTCCGCCATATCGTCGGCGTTGTGGCCTGTGGGCGAGAGCTCGGGTAAAGGATGGGGACAGAGAGGAGAGGGGTAGGGAGGGGGCGCCGAGAACCACTGGAGAGGGAAAGTGGAGAAGGCCAGCCATAGGGACCCCCTGGACCCAGTGACTGAGGAGGGGATCCTGTAGGTCCTCAGTAATGACACAATGTAGAAGGGACCATAAAGTGGGGACCAAGAGAGTGGAGGGAGGTGTGGGAACACCCAGAATCCAGAGATAAGAAGGGGCGGTGGATACGCCACGCCACCCAGCTTCCTCCACGATACACTACCCCACCACGTCCTTCCTGCTCACCGGTCACGATGTGTGTAGCTCCCACGAGGCGCGCGCCCTCCTCCAGTGCGCGCCGCCGCAGCACCCCGCAGAAGGTGCAGCAGGAGCGGCTGCGGCCAGAACCGGCGGTGCTGCGGGCCACGGCGTCCATCGTCCAGCCCCCGAACAGGTCTGCATAGGCCACGATGGTGAGCGGCAGCTCCCAGCGCGCAGCCTGGCTGCTCACGGCCTCCAGCGCGGCGTCACGGTAGCCGCCGATGCCCTCGTCCACGGCCACCAGGTGTAGCGTGATACCCAGGCGTGGCGCAAGCTCGCGCAGCACGTGTGCCAGTACTGTGGAGTCCTTGCCGCCCGAAGCGCCCACAGCCACCACTGCACCTGGGGGCAGCAGGCGCCCTGCGAGCACCGTATGCAGCACTTCGGCCTCAAAGGCCGCACAGAAGCAGGAGCCGCACAGCGCCTGCCCCGAGCGCGGGCGGCGGAGGGCAGCGCGGGCCGCGTGGCAGGAGGAGCACGTGGGGGCGGGCATCGCGGGAAGAGAAGTGGGTCGCCCGAGATATCCACACTGTGGAGGAAAGGGTAGGAAATCATTTGGGGCGTCTACATTGCAGGGCTGATGGGAGACAAGAGGGGTCACGAGAGATATCCATACTTCTGGGCTAATGGAGAGAGAAGGGAAGCTGGTCGCCCAGGATGTCTGCTGAGGGGAGAGAGAAGCAGGTCACATGCTTCGGAAACCCAGAGTGGCACTTGCACAGGGGAGCCCTAGGGAAGGGCAGCTTCTTTCTGCACCAAGAAGTGTGTTTCTGGGGTGGGGGGCAGAGAGGAAGACACGCAAGAAGCGGGGTGCCTTTAAGGACCAGTTGCACAGTTTTGAGGTCGCTGTGATTACAGCCTTGGTCATGGAGACAAGGTAGGTGTCACTGACCTTGACTTCCAGGGCTGAGTAGAGCCTGGAAGAGCCTGCTATTCAGAGGCAGAGGGCTAAGGATGTTTGGATTTTAGCAGGGGACGGAGGCTACGGGACACGCCCCCTTCCTGATTGCATTCCCTGCAAGGCATGGTGCCCTCCTCTAGGCTACGGGCTGTCCTGAACCTGTAAAAACTCTCCAGGCTCGGTCCTCTCTGCCAGACCATGGCATCTCCAGCTTGGACTCTCCAGTAGCCTCCTGCCGTTCCGAGCAGGTACGGCTACCCTAGGATTTACCACAATGATCAGAATTACCTGGCAACCGCCGGTTTACTGTGACTAACTTCTACGAGGGCAAGACCAGTGACTCAGCCCTCACATCCCCGATTCTTTCACCAACTGGTGTTCTGCAGCGAAGCGAAGCTCTGCCCTTCCAGGTGCTCAGACTAGATGCTCTGGGGTCTAGGACCACCCTGATCACTCACGCACCCGGTGGGGGGTTCAAAATGCAAAGACCAGTCTTGACTTGCTTTCCAAACGCCCGTAGCCCAATCTCAGAACTCATGCTAAGGCCCTCTAAAAGAGTACAGCCAATCCTGTTTGTGGCTTCGAGACAGATGGAGAAGCCAGATACTTCCCACCTACTCCCCCAGCATGCTTGTCTGGGTCACGGGTCTCTCTGCCTTGACCTCCCCTTCTTTATACTCGTGTTGTTTGGCACATAACAATGAGCAGATCCAGCCCAATTCTCTTTTCCACATTGTCTGTGACTTGCTGACTGACAGCCTGGGAGGCCCTGTGGCTCCTCCCGCTTACTCTCAACTATCCCAGGAACACCCCTCTCCTTTGGCCTGGAGCCCAGCAAGCGGCTCTGAGGACCCATTCGTCCCTCGTGGCTGGGCACTGCTCCTTGAAGTGTTTCCCTCCCAGCTTTTGATTCCGTCCTCCCCTTCCCGCATTATGTCCCCATCAGTGTCTCACCGCTTCATTTCCTCAAGCCCTGCCCAGCAAGCCTGAGAATCATCCGGCTCGGAGGTGCCTCCAGGTTCGACCTCCAGTTGAGCCATTGAAGAGTCTTGCAGGGCACCTTTCAGACGCCAAGTATCCCTGAAATCGGTAGCGTCTACCTGGCATCTGTCTCCTGAGAGTGACCACCACCTTCTGCCCAGCATTTACTCAGAATGGGGCGCAGAGCCACTCTGTCCTGTCATCTAATCCTAGGAGGGTTTGCTGTTGTGAGGAGTTTACAGGCACAGGCAGAAACAGGAAGCCAGGAGACCACCTCGGCATTCCTGAGCTGATGGAGCGAACCAAGCTAATAAACGTATGGGGGGCGGGGGGTTGTGTACAGACAGGCTGCACGCCCCAGAGGTAATACCAGGCATGGTGGCACACGCCTTTAATCCCAGCACTCAGGAGGTAGAGACGGCTGAATTTCTGCAAATTCCTAATTAGCCTGGCCTGATTTACATAGCGAGTTCCGGGCCATCCAGGGCAACGTGGTGATATCTCGTCTAAAAACAAAAACAAACACAACAAACAAAAAAACCGAGGGGTGCCACCGGTGACCGACTTTCCTAAAGGGCAGAGAAGGGGTCCCCAGAACACAAGAGAAACAAGAGAAGGCAGATGGTCTGTCACCACTAAAAGAACAGGGAGGCCTGGCAAGAGATTGGATTAGAGGGGGAATCCTGGCCAGAGCACGAGTTGGCAATCATAAAAGCGAGTGTTAAATTCCTAGAGAGATCTTCAACTCTCCTGTGGCACCACAACCCTGAGCTCGCTCGATCCGGAGCAAGAGGAACACTAACCTGGGTGGAATGGGCTCAGCACTCTGCCTGCCACGCGGAAGCCTGGAGCGGAAGTTGTTCTGAGACTACAACTCCCACAAGGCCTTGGACTGCCTTACCTACGACTTCCAGAATGCAACAGCTCCCGCTGAGCGCCTGTAACTAACTCTGCAACAGCTTGGACTACAATTCCCAGCAACACTTGAGAGCACGGGTTTCCTTCAGCCTACAGCACCCAAATCGCAGCGCTCCAGAAGCTTTGGGCTTGAGCTGCGGGTACTGATGTTGCCCTGGAAACGCGAGGTCACCAGGCGCGATACTGAAATCAGAAGTGGCTGCGGTCTAATTTCCTAGTTTTGCGATTTATTATACGCTATTGCTGCTTAAAAAAAAGAATATAGACCTCGCCTATATTAACCAGGCTGGCCTTGAACTCAGAGACCCACTTGCTACGGCCTCCAGAATGCTAAGATTAAAGGCGCATGCCAAAACCTTGCCCTTACCATCGTCTTTCTATTTTCTTTCCCGTTTTCTTCAGAAAGATGGAAGGAGTCCGAATGACATACAGCTACGCAAGCTGTTGCAATATACACCAGCAAATTGTTTTCGTGTGCTGTTTAAGGTCACCTAGAACCTGGCCCTGAAGGCGCCCCGCCCCGAATTTATTCCCACGCATTTTGTCCTCCAAGACCACGTGTTTAGCTGCCAGCTGGCCTCCTGGCCATGTGGGAAAGCGAGGGAGAACAACCAAATAGCCTGAGAGTAGAAACGCCGTGTCCTTGAGAACAGAAGGAAAGTAAATTCTCAAAGAAAGATCCTTGAACACAGATGGAATGTGAGCCATTCTCCGGCACCTCTGCTACTGCTCATCCCGTGTGATATAAAACTAAAAATACCTGTTGTTGGAATGGCTAGTTGGGAGACAGGTCTGCCTGGGACCCTCTTCTTCAGCCCGATGCCCCTGCTGACTGTTGTGGCTCCGGGCTTCCCCCGCATATTTCTGCTGGATGTTCGTTACATGCCTGATCTGATGCCCCGTTATCTCCCTGCAGTTACTCACTTGAAACAAAAAGCATTGCCATCGTGGGCCATTCTCCAGTTTAAGTTCTCTACACCACTAAACTAAACCACTCCAGGATTCTAGGTAGGGACTCTACCATTGAGCCACACCCCCGCCTCTCACTGGGGAATTCTAAGTGGGTGCTACCATGGAGCTATGCTCCATGCCTTGCTAGGGAGATTCTAGGCAGATGTTTTAACACAGCCATGCCCAAAGCTCCTCACTGATGGACACTAGGCAAGCATTCTTCTACCGAGCTGTGGCCTCAGCATGCACTCCTTATGTTTTGTCTGTTTTTTAAACAGGGTCTCACTATGTGGCCCATGCAGACATTAAACTTACAATCCTTCTGCATCTGTCCTCCAAGTAGCTAGAATTACAGCTTTGAGCTACAAGGCTTGGTTCAGCTGGGTGGTAGATAAACCTAAACCAAACTTCCTGATGGTGCAACCCTTTAATACAGTTCCTTATGCTGTGGAGACCCCCAACCATACCATTATTTGCGTTGCTACTTCATATCTGTAATTTTGCTACTGCTATGAATCACAATGTCAATATCTGTGTTTTCTGTTTGTCTTAGGTGACCCCTGTGGAAGGATCCTTTGACTCAAAGAAGTCATGACCCAAGGGTGAGAAATACTGACCTAGACCTTGGGGATGATGTTTCAGCACCATAGACAGAGCCAGCCCAGCGGTCTGGCCAGTCCACTCTGTCCTGTGGTCCTGCGTGCCAACCCCTCTTTATCTGCAGCATCCCAGACAACTTGGCTTCAGATAAGTAAGGGAAGAAGGAGAGGCTTCGCCACACTGCAGAAAAATAAGTACCAGTGCAGACATCTGACTGGTTCCCTCCACAGCCCTGGGGGAATGTGTTACCAAGTACTTGGCAGGCTGTTTTCTGGAATGGGTATGGTTGTATAAAATGAAAAGCTCAAGGACACCAAGAACTCTAGGCTAGGGATTCAAAGGGGAGATCATGAGTTGGCACACCTATAGCTTAGTTGTTCTGGGTACCTGAGCAAGGAAAGAAAGAAAGGAGTCCAGGTTCCACTTTCTTTGGTGTGTTTACAGCTCCAAGCCCTAATTTGCTTCCTAGTTGCTGTGATAAAACACTGAACAAAATTAACTTGCATTTATTTACCGTACAGATCACAGACCATCATCAAGGGAAGCCATGGCATGAACCCAAGTCAGGAGCTGAAAGTAGAAACCTCACTCTACTTATTGTTACTTCTAGGTTCTCATTTACCTTCCTTACATTGGGAGGTCCACCTTCCCAGGAGTGGTATCACCCACGTCGACCTGACTCCTCCTACATCAGTCAACAATCAATAAGATCTCACGTAGGCTAATCTGAATGAGGAAATTTCTCAGTTGAGGCTCCTTTTTCCTATGTGTTACAAGTTGATAACCTCGCCTAGCCATCTCACGGAAGCAGGGACCACTGTCACTTAAGTAGAAACTATCACATTTCTGTCCCAGATACTCTGTTTCCTGTGGCACCATTGCCTTTCAAGAAAATATCACACGTGGGAGCTGGGGTTAGACCTCAACTGATAGCGTGCTTGTCCATGGGTTTGATTACCAGCGCTGCATAAACCACATGTGGCAGTCCACACCTGTAACCTGACCACTTGGGATGTGGAAGTGAGAGGATTTTGTGGAGTTCAAGGTCACCTGTGGCCACATAGTGAGTTTGAGGTCTGCCTTTATTATGTGGGGCCTTGTCTTAATCCTCCAGGGAATAAAATGTAAATGTAATCCATTCAGTAAGTATGCAGGGACATTAGTTGGAAAAGTAAATTCTCATCTTACTTTCCCTGTTAGTCATGGTTCCGTGGACTACTGCTTTGTTCACCTTTTGCTGGGCATCAAGACTTACTTGCCTTTTAACTGGTTTAAACAGGCTGCGTCTCTACTTCCACTTCTGCTCTGGCTCTTTCAAGAAGTTACACTTTGCTGGGGAACTTCGCTGGGTTTGTCGTATGACCTCAAGCACTCACACTGTCTTAGTGAGGGTGTCCCTGCCGTGAAGAGACACCACCACCATGGCTGCTGCAGGGTGTTTGATCACACTGTGAACCCTGAGATTGCACTAATTACTGGAAAGATCCGTCCCTAGTTGTGGTGTGGCTCAACCCTAGCACACATCCTATTCCAAGCGCTTTCTGCTTGAATACTGTGAACAGGATTAAATAAAGTCAACCATAAGTCAAGAGGCAGAATAAGCAACCAGTTGACAGGAAGTGAACATAGACAAAAGTCACAGAGAGTAAGAGGGAGTCAGAGGCATGACCAGAGAGATGCACAGCAAGAAGAAGGGAGCGACATTGGGTTTGAAGAGGCTGTTGGGGTATGGTGTAAGGGAAGAAAGGCTTCTGCATGTCAGCTGAGGAGGAAGGTCAGCGAGGTGCTTTCTCTGCCTCTCTGAGCTAGCAGGCTTTCACCCCGGCATTGACTCCCAAGTCTTTATCGGTGAAGTCAAATGACTGAGATTTTGTTAAAAACAACTCTTATAAAGGAAAACATTTGATGGTGGTGGCTTACAGTCTCAGAGGTTCAGTCCTTTATCATCAACTACTCTAATCAAGATAATCCCCACAGGCATGACCAGAGGCCCATCTTCTAAGTGATCTTAGATCTTGCCAAATTGACCATTGAAATTATGTCACAGATCCTACTCAAAAAGTAAGGTGGAGAGTGACAGAAGAAGATGTCCAGAGTGGAGTTCTGGGTTTTATATGTGCATGCACAGGTAAGCGCACCCCTCGACACTCTTGCCTCCCTCCAGACACAGAACCTCCTGTTATTACCACAGCCTTGGGCATACGGATCTCGACATGTGTGTTTTGGAGGGATCTGATGTCACCTTAGTACTTGCATTCTAGAACTCAGTGTCTTCTGAAAATGGGGAAGTGGCACTATGGGTCTCAATTCTCATGGGTTGTGTGGCATAAGTTCCTCTCTTGGATGTGGAGTCTCTGAGTTTTCTCATCCTAATTTCTTTACAAACTGGGGACAACAGGGAACCAAATGGGGCAATGGCCCAGCTCTTCTGACCACTGAGTTGCTGCAATCTGCTAACTAAGAGAGAGTAAAAAAAAAGCCAGGTGGTGGTGGTACTCGCCTTTAATTCCAGCACTAAGGAGGCAGAGGCAGGTGGATCTCCATGAGTTTGAGACCAGCCTGGTCTACAAGAGCTAGTTCCAGGACAGCCTCCAAAGCCACAGAGAAACCCTGTCTTGAAAAACCAAAAAGAAAAAAGAGAGTCTTTGGTCAAAAATGGGAGTAAAGGTTGGTTGCCAATTGAAAATGCAGAAAGTGATGTGTGTACACTCTTATAGATGAGAGAGAGAGAGAGAGAAAGAGAGAGTTAGCTAAGGATGATAGCCAGAAATGCCTAAGCCCAGATATATTAGTCAGGGTTCTTGCAAGGAACAGGATTTATAGAATGCATACATACATAATATATATTATATATGATGATATGTATCATATATAATAGTATATATAGCATTATATATACTATTTATTAGAATGATCTACAGGCTGTGGTCCAGCTAGCCCAACAATGGCTGTCAATCAGAAGGCCCAAAACTGGTAGTTGTTCAGTCGGCGAGGCTCAGTGTCTCAGCTGGTCTTCATTGTATGACAGAACCCTGAAGAAGTGGGCTGTAGTGCAGCAGCCACAGGCATGGCCCAGATTAAAGGTGGATATTCCCGCCTCAGAAGATCTGGACTAAATGCGAATCTTCTCCTCTAAAAAGATCCAGATTAAAGTGGGTCTTCCCAGAACGTGGGTGTCAGTTGGGGGGTCTGAGTAGTCAATGGGGGCAGTGGAACCAGTATTTATCCCTAGTGTACGAATGAACATTCCCCATAGAGGGATACTCTCTCAGCCTAGACACATGGGGGAGGGCCTAGGCCCTGCCCCAAATGATATGACGGACTTTGATGATCCCCCATGGGAAGCCTCACCCTCCCTGAGGAGTGGATGGGGGATGGGATAGGGAGATGGTGGGGGGAATGGGAGGATGGGAGGGAGAGGGAACTGGGATTTATATGTAAAATAAGATTGTTTTTAATTTAAATAAAATTAAAGTGGGCCTTCCCACTTCAAATGATGAGGGGAAAGAAAAAAAAAAAACCTCACAGGCATGCCCATCCACTTGGGTTTTAGTTCATTCCAGATCAGTCAAGTTAACAACCAAGAGAAACCATCACAGGGAGCAAACTTAGAAATAGGGAAGGGAATATGTGGATGGCTCTGCGGGGCTCACAATAGGCGGTTCCTTGGAGGCACTGAACTTCTAGTGTACCTCTGGGTCACTTTTCGGGTTGTATATATATATAAATATAAATATGTATGACACTTTCCCTATCTCAGATGTCTCAAGGGAAACTGACACTAGTTGAAGGAGGCCCAACCTGGTAGAATTATTTCCACTTCCTCCTCCCTCCAGCCACAAGTTAAGCAGTCTTCTAGGAATTGCTGGTCATCCTGGGGGTAGACAGGGCAAGGCTGGTGTTTCTCACTTCAGTTCCTCTGTTCCCATGAAGCCCGGGTGGGCAGGGGACCCCGAGCAAACAAGGAGTCTCTGGAGCAAGGGGCGGGGATGTGTAATGGTGAGCCTGTCGGGAACCCCCAGTGAGGGGCTGGGGTGAGCTCAGGGGTGGAGCCTCTGCCTAATGTTAGTGATCCTGAATTCCAACTCCAGCAAGAAACCCTTCCCGAACAAGGAAGGGAATTTTACCTTTTCAAAAATCTGTGTTATTGTAGTTTTCAAGGTCAGTTCTTGAGTGTTAGTAGCCACAACAGATCAGGCTTAGCCACGGTCAACCTCCATAGACCAAGTAAAGACATGAGAAAGAGGGAAATTTAAGGTAATTTGGTCGCACTGGGAAGAGAAACAATAAAGAGGTTCAGTGACCCTCAAGTCCATCTTCAGGGTCCTGATATGAAGCTGAGAGAGGACAAGAGCTGTGGGCGGCTAAGCCGTCCTGGTCACCCTGTGGTACTGCCCATCACTGACACATCCTTGTTTGGCCCACAAGGTGTTCCAATAAGTTGTCAAAACCGGATTCTTCCTGGGTATGAGTTCATCCTATAGACTTCATCTGGACTTTAGCTTTTCCATTGCTCAACATGGGAGACCTGTGGAAATTTTAATTCATTGGGGATACTTTGTCCCCAAAAGTCTGTTAGCCAGATGGAGGTCACAAGCATCTCTCTCTAACTCCTCTCCTGCTAGATGCACTATATTGGATTTCCATTTGACAATCTTCTGTGCCAAGTCCCAGTGTACCTCAGCCACCATTTACCCAGGAGTCTTTCCCCACAGAGTGAGACTCCCCTCTGTGGCCTTGGTGTAGTTTTGCTTTTTCTGTGTTTGGTTTGGTTTGGTTTGAGGGTTTGGTTTGCATGTGTTGAGACAGGTTCTGCTGAAGCCAAGGCTGGGCTGAAACTCATTATGTAGCTGAGGTTGGTCTTGGAGTCCTGATCCTCCTTGCCTCCTATTCCTGAGTGCTGAGACGGCAGGCCCATTCTACCATGCACACTCTATGCGGTGCTGGGGATGGGTCCCGGAGCTCTGCACGTGCGAAGCAAACACTCTCCCAAGCCAGCTCCAGCTCCAGCTCCCTTGGTGGGTTAACAGGAAGAATGTTCACATCCACCCCTTCAGAGCAGCTGTACACTCAGGCTGCACCTCCTCCACCGATGCCCTGGCTGTGAGACGCTCCAGGGACCTGAGAGCCATCTCCCACTGGACAGTGGTGCTTTGGGAACATGACTTATGTCACTGTACAGAGAGGGTGTGCCCATGACAAACTGCTAAGGGAGGGGGGAGCATGCATCCCCCAAATCCCTCTAGATCCATCACCAACTCCACAATATCAGCCCCAGGGGAGGCTCTGGGTGAAGCAAACCCATTTTCACTGGGCAGGAAATGTCACTCAAAGGCCAAGGCTAGCACACACAGGGAGAAGATGGAATCAGGCCCTACATGGGAGAGGCAGTCGCCTTTTTTTGGCCTCCGGAGTAGATCTGGGTGGTGGGTGGCTGGTCTTCAAGAAGCAAGGGTCCTGGCAGTGGCTGGGACTGAAGCTCCTCCTCCCAAGGCAGCCACTGTCCTGGCCTCACCCCTGCTTCGGGTGGGGCTTCCTCCAGGCCTTGCAGCTCCTAGTTCCTCAGAGAAGAGCCCAGACAGACAGACTTCTGGTGGCCCTGTGTGTCAGCTTGACATGCTGCTGCTGCTGCTGCTCTGGGGGGTGAAGGGGGTACAGGGTGGGAATGAGGCCAAGGAGGGTTTCACCCTGAGTGTGGAAAGGGAGATAGTGGTTCAAGAGGGCCTGTGTGTCTTTGTACCCTGTGAGTTCTCCTACGCCAGGGAGAAGTGGACTGACTCAGACCCGGTTCGTGGATACTGGTTCCGGGATGGAGACAAGACAGATCGTGATCCCCCAGTGGCCACAAATAACCCACATCGGTCAGTACTGAAGAGGACCAAGAACCGGTTCTTCCTGATCGGAGACCCACAGAAGAATAACTGCTCCCTGAACATCAGAGAGACCAGGAAGAAGGACGCCGGGTCATACTTCTTTCGCCTGGAGAGAGGACAAACGAAGTTTAATTATCTTTGGAACATGATAACTCTGCATGTGACAGGTCAGGCATGGCTCGCAGAGAAGCCACTAGGGAAAGTCATAGGTGTCACAGGGCAGGGTTGGCACAGGACTGGGAGTCTGAGCATCAGGGCTCAGGGGAGGGGCTGGATCAGAGCCGGGGCTTCCCCTGAAGCTGCACCTCACCCCCTCCTGATCCTCCAATTCTCCCCTCTCCCCACCAGCCCTCACTGACACCCCCTACGTGCTTATCCCGGAGACCCTGGAGGCTGGCCGTCCCAGCAACCTGACCTGCTCTGCGCCTTGGGCCTGTGGGTCCCCCACCTTCTCCTGGGCCGGTACCTCTGTGTCACTCTCCAGTACCAACACCAATGGCTCCTCAGTGCTGACTGTCACCCCCCAGCCCTGGGACCATGGCACCAACCTCACTTGTCAGGTGACCCTGCCTGGATCTGGTGTGACCACAAGAACGACCATCATTCTCAACGTGTCATGTGAGGCTGGGCTGAGTTGCTCTTTTTTATAAGAGTGGTCCCCAGGGTGGACTCAGGGTCCTGACACTGGGTCCTAAAATCCTGATAAGGGGGTTTATCAGAATGATAGCCCCTGCTGTACCCACCTAGACAGCTGCTGGGGTCAGAGGGTGGTTGATGAGTCCACTGTGTCATTCTCTCTTAGATGCTCCAAGGAATCTGACTGTGATCATCTATCAAGGAGCTGGCCCAGGTAGGAGATACCACACCTCCTCAGCTCAGGGCAGGAATTATTCTTCCTCACACTGGACTCACCTGGAGATGGAGGCTCCTTGTCCGGGAACCACTGGACCAACCCCTCTGAAGCCCCTAGGTGTTTGCAGCCCTCAGTCCCCCAGATCTGCGCAAGTCCCTGGACCACCACAGGCACAGGGTGACAGCACACAGCAGAACCGCACTCTCCAGGACCTTCTCCCCATGTACGGATCTGCCTGTGTGTCCCCAATAGTTATGCTCTGGGTTTTTGTGCAAAGAGACCTGGTTAGGCACTCGGAAGACACACAGTGCTCCGTTCTCAGAAGCTCAGTCTCCAAACTGTAAGTGACCAGTATTCTGCCCACATAGACTGGCTGAGCCTGGGCTTGTCCACCTGAGGTTCTGAGAGGAACAAGGTATCAGTAGCAGAGATTATCTTTGGTCTCCATGACTGCAGTAACCAACACAGATGGATCCAATTCTGCAGGTTTCTAATGTCAATGGTCAGCAAAGACAGGGAGTGCATTCTGCCGCCAGCAATGGGCAGAGAATAGGTATTGTATCTGTGGCCACAAGTGTAAACTAAGTGCAGGACATGTGGCTTGATTGATCGGAAAAACAAACAAACAAACAAACAAACAACCTTGTCAAGCATGCCTAAACTCCTGGCTGGGTCCCATCCCCAGCACCACATAAGCTGGGTATAGTGGTGCACACCTGCACTTGGGAAGTGGAGGCAGGAGGATCAGATGTTCAAAGTCATTCTTGCTATATCATGAGTTTGAGGCCAGCCTGAGACACTGTCTTCAATTCTCTCTTTGTCTCTCTCTCTCTGTCTCTGTCTCTCTCTCTGTCTCTGTCTCTCTCTCTGTCTCTGCCTCTCTGTCTCTCTCTCTCTGTCTCTCTGTCTCTGTCTCTCTCTCTGTCTCTGTCTCTCTCTCATCAACTGCAAATATATGCCTGGATCACATGTTCTCTCTAACTTTAAGGCCTACAGTCAAGTAGCTCACACTACTTGACTGATTGTTGCTGTGGTGTTAGTTGAAAGCCTGGGTTTTCCTATCCTTTGCTCCCTATCGGGGCGTCAGTCACCCTCTCTGGGTTCCAGTGTCCCTTCTCTTAATCTCGTCACACTGTCTCTGTCTCTTTCTCTACAGAATACATAGCCGTGGAGAACTGCTCATCTCTTCCCATCTCTGAGGGCCAGTCTCTACGCCTCTTCTGTAGTACCGACAGCAATCCCCCTGCGAACCTGAGTTGGACCTGGGATAACCTGAGTCTGTGCCCCTCGAAGCTGTCCAAACCTGGGCTCCTGGAGCTTTCCCCAGTACATCTTAAGCATGGAGGAATGTACACCTGCCAAGCTCAGCATGCTCTAGGCTCCCAACACATTTCCCTGAGCCTGTATCTGCAGCGTGAGTGACCTGTGGGCCAGAGGCAGGCGGCAGGCGGCCAACACCTGGTCCATGCTTGCTGCGTTCCCATTAGTCCCCGTAGAGTCACAAGGGAGCGTGGCTCCAGGTTGTGCTGAGCTGTGAGGCCTGTAAATACCCAGAGTCCCACCATCTAATTCCTGCCACAAGGAGGGCATGCGGGTCGGGGAGGGGGTCACCCCAAGAAGCAGCAAAGCTTGAGAGGAGGGGCTAGGATTTAGATGGGTGAGCTCAGCACACAAGGTCCTTGCCTCTGCAGGCCAGGAGGAAGGGGGATTTGCCAAGAACATAAAATCCAAGAGAAAAGTGAACCAAACAAAACAGCATAAAAACAAATGGACAACTCAGTAGTCAAGCCTGTGTGGTGGTCCATGCTCCAGCCTCTTACTGGGGGGATTCTAGGCAGGTATTCAACAGCTGACCTATATCCCCAACCCTCTTTTTAATTTTTATTTTGAGATAGGATGTCACCAAGTTGCCCAGGTAGTCACTGAACTCAGTCTATAGCCCAGACATCCCTTGAACTTGAGGTCCTTCTGTCTCAGCCTCAGAGACAGCTGAAATGACAGGCATTCTTCATTACATCTGTCTGTGGTGAATCTGGAGTTGGAACCCAGGCCCTAACACATACTCAGATACATTTAATGATCCCATTAAAAATGCAAAATTCATCCCATGCTGAATAAGACACCAAACTAAACAAAGCAAACTGCTGCCTAGCTTTGTAATGTCCCCTCTGACTCCTCGGGTCCTTCCATCTGTCCCTTCTGCTCAGGTTTCTGTTCTGGTTATCCGAGCCAGGGGTGAGAAAGGCAGAAGACCCAGCCTCCTGCAGGGCCTCGGGTAGACTGGAGAGGAGGGGAGTTTTCTTAGTGTTCTCTATCTATCTGCAGGCAGCGCAACTTTATCTGAAATGACTATGGGGGCCTTTGTGGGTGCAGGCGCCACAGTCCTCCTCTTCCTGTTTTGCTGCATCGTCGTGCTGGCGTGAGTACCAGTGTCGGTGGGGATGAGAACCCGGGATGATGAGGGACAAGCCTAGTACCTGACCCTGAGCCCAGGCCTGGAGGAGGGAGCTGGGGAGGTGGGGCGCCTGAAGTCGGAGGAGAGTCGTCCAGGTATATGGTCAGTGTGTGGGACTTTGGAGTGTTGCAACCCTCGGGCACCACTGTCCCAGATGGTGGGAGCCACCTTCAACACACGAGCCTCTGGGGCAGGACCACCAGCCTTGACCATCTTCAGAGGCTTAACTGCAAGTGTGGGGGGATGCCAGCCCTGCCTCCACCTGCCCACACTGAAATGCCCCCTGGTGTCCTTGTACCCAGGCTAAGATCCTGTAGGAGGAGACCAGCCAGGCCAGCTACGGGAACTCCGGGTTCAAATGCCCTCAAGGGCTCAGTTTCTCAGGTGAGTGACCAGTGTGAATGTGTTCAAACCCAGAGTCCCCCTGCCTGGACATCACCACTGAGACGAAGCTCAGATTGTTTTGCTTAGTGTGGTCTAAGTTGGGTATCCTACAAGCAGACCTCTCTAATCCATTCCCCGACTTGATACCTGCAGACAGTGTCCTCCATGCTACAAGCAGACCTCTCTAATCCATTCCCCGACTTGATAACTGCAGACAGTGTCCTCCATGCTACTTGCAGACCTCTCTAATCCATTCCCCGACTTGATACCTGCAGACAGTGTCCTCCATGCTACTTGCAGACCTCTCTAATCCATTCCCCGACTTGATACCTGCAGACAGTGTCCTCCATGCTACTTGCAGACCTCTCTAATCCATTCCCCGACTTGATACCTGCAGACAGTGTCCTCCATGCTACTTGCAGACCTCTCTAATCCATTCCCCGACTTGATACCTGCAGACAGTGTCCTCCATGCTACTTGCAGACCTCTCTAATCCATTCCCCGACTTGATACCTGCAGACAGTGTCCTCCATGCTACTTGCAGACCTCTCTAATCCATTCCCCGACTTGATAACTGCAGACAGTGTCCTCCATGCTACTTGCTCTCTGGCTGGGCAGGGAGTAAGACTCTGCTCATCTTTCTCCCTTTCTTCTGTTCTTCCTCAAGTTCATGGGTTCTCATCCAGTCTCCTTTGTCAAGACACCAAGCTGCAGGACACTCTCTGCCTTTTGGCTCCTGCCATCCATGACACTCTCTCTCTCTCTCTCTCTCTCTCTCTCTCTCTCTCTCTCTCTCTCTCTCACACACACACACACACACAGAGAGAGAGAGAGAGAGAGAGAGAGAGAGAGAGAGAGAGAGAGAGAATACTTGGGAGGGCATATCTGTCTGCCCATCTGTCTCTCTGCCACTCCCTCTTCCTCCCTCTCTCTCCCTCTTCTTCTTTGTTTCTTTGCCTCTATTCTACTGTCTTTGTTTTTCTCTCTCTTCCTCTCTCTCTTTCCCTTTCCTTCCCTATCCTCCATCTCCCATATCCCGTCTCTTACACTTTCCCTCTTTCTCTTTCTTTCACCTCCTTCCATCTGTTTCTTTCCTTTTCTGTGTCTCTCTCTCTCTGTGTCTCTCTCTTCCTCTTCTTCCTTATCTCCTTTCCTCCCTCTCCCACGTCATCTCTCTCCTCTCTCTCCTCCTCTTCCCTTCTCTATCGGCTAATTCTCCCTGTGTCTGTTTGTCTGTGTTTCTCTGTCTCTGTCTGTCTGTCGCTGTCTGTCTGTCTCTGTCTGTCTCTCTGTCTCTGTCTCTGTCTCTGTCTCTCTCTCTCTCTCAGTGTGTCCCCTTTCCTCTTCCTCTTCCTCCTCCCTCTTCCCTGGTCCTTGGCCTCCTTTCTCTGCCACCATGAACAAGTTATTAGCTTTACCCACTTTCTGTGCATTTGAATATCAGCTCCCTGACCCCACTGTGAAAGCAGGGGTTTAAATGAGTTCGTTCACCAGACCCAAGATAAATGATAAATAGGTGTTTATTAGGGAAGGACTTACACAGATAGGGGTAAATAACCTCCACAGTCTTCCTGCTCCAGAAGATGCAGTCTCTGCTCTCTGCAACCCAAGAGAGGCGAGCCAGCTCCTCCTCTACCTCATGTCTGCACCTGAAATTACGCCCAAAAGGTGTGGCCACCACTACAAATTCATTGGCAAGACAAGATGCCACTACAGCACTGAGTACTGTAACACCTCCCAAAGTTCTTATGAAGGATGGGCTGACTCTGTAGCTGTTCAGCTTTGCTGCTGTTAACACAAAAAACACCACAGGCCATATGTAACTGATGAGCATGGCTGTGTGCTAATAAAGCTTTATTCGTAAACATGAACAGTGGGCTGGATTTGTCTCAAGGGCTGATTTAGAACATAAAAGTCGGGCCGGGCGGTGGTGCCGCACGCCTTTAATCCCAGCACTCGGGAGGCAGAGGCAGGCGGATCTCTGTGAGTTCGAGACCAGCCTGGACTACCAAGCGAGTTCCAGGACAACCTCCAAAGCCACAGAGAAACCCTGTCTCGAAACAAACAAACAAACAAAAAAAACATAAAAGTCCAAACTCCTCAGCCCCACATGGTGAGATGGGAAGCTTGCCTCATATGCAAATTTTAAGATGCTAATTTTAAGATGGTGCTGAAGCATCAGTCATTGAGATGGGGGGGGCGTGCATGCATATGGATGCACATACACGAGGAGGCTTGAGGCTTGAGGCTGACGTTAGGAATCATCCTCACTGGCTCTTCCACCTTGTCATTGAGGCAATGTCACTCAGCCAAAGCCAGCGATCGCTGATATGGCTAGTCTGCGGGCCAGCTTGCTGTAGGGAGCCTCTGCCTCTTAAAGTCATAATTGCAGGTGGGCCACCACACCCACTTGGCATTTGTGTCCTTTCTGGGGATCCAAGCTCTGGCCCTCATGTTTACTCAGCAGCATTTTACCTCTGAGCTATTGCTCTGGGTCCCAGAAACCCATCTCTGTAGATCCTTAGAGAACTTTGGGCTCAGTCATGTTTTATTCTATACAGGTGGTTATCAAACCACTCAAACAACAAAGGCCATTATGTGAATATGATGTAAAAGATAGAGACATTTATTGCTGGGAAGATAGGCTGTGTGATTAATTTGTTTACTATCTATCATCTTTCTTTCTCTGTTTTCTATCTATCCATCTATCATCTATTTATTTATCTATCATCTATCTGTCTATCATCTGTCCGTCTATCATCTGTGCTCTAGAGTCTGGTAACACCTTGTAATATGAAATTCACCATTGTTGCCCTTTACACATCTACAGTTGTGTAACAGATGCCTAGGACTTTTTCATCTTGAAAAACTAAGACTATGTATTGAGCAACATCTCCCACTGCCTCCCTCCCCAAGATCCTGGCATCCCGCAGTGCCTCTCTCTCTCTCTCTCTCTCTCTCTCTCTCTCTCTCTCTCTCTCTCTCTCTCTCTCTGTGTGTATTTGACTTCTGCAGACACCTCCTATGTGGGACCACACTGTATTCATCTTCTGTGACTGGCTCTCTTAATTTAGCACGTCCTCAGGATCCATCATGTTGTAGACTATTACAAGTTTCCTTGCCTTTCTAGAAGGTTGGTAATGTTCCACTGTATGTGTATGTAACAGTTTCTTCTACCTGTTTACTGTTGCTATGTGCGAGTTAACAAGTGTGAGAGGTCAACTGTATTCTCCGTACAGTTGAACCACAAGTGCACAAGGGATCCCATCTCTCCATGTGCTCATCAACACTGGCTATATTCTGTTTTCTCTTGTATTGTTTTAATAGTGGATATCCTAATAAATGTGGGGTGTTATTTCTTTGTGGTTTAAATGTGTGTTTTCTAATAATAATAGTGGGTATCTCTTTTCTGTATATCTTTCTGGAGAAATAAATGCCCATTGCAGGTCTTTGTCTATTTTTCTGGTTGAGTTGCTTGTTGTTGAGGAGTTACAGGTATTGTTTATCTGCTCTGGCTCTTGGTCCCTCACCTGATGCATATTTTCTGTAAGTTGAATGTGGTTTTGGTTAGTGATGAGGGAGACTGGATTCTTCCATTCAGTTATTCCAGGTAGAGGGAGGAGCAGACACCAATTCTCAGAAACCAGAGGCAGTCAGAAAGTGGAAAAGCAGCTATGAGAGCTGTGTAAAGAGACAAGGGAAGCATGGGCCACCACAGGAAGTACGTTTGGAGAAGTTGAGTGTGTAAATCATTTCTGAGTCAACAAACAACCGCTAGGGAGTACAAGAAGGAACAATCAAGCTGCAACCTCCGTGGAGAAAGAACAATGTAACTAACTTCTAGAAGCAACAATCTAACTTCTGTGGGCACCTTTGGGTAGAACGGGCAGGAAAACATTTTGGCAAGGGAAACAGAGGCAGAGGCGTTAGGAAGGAGGCTGGAGACGATGTGGAAGATATCTGGAATGGATGCTGGGTTGCCGAAATGAAGGGAGTAAGTGTGGTCTGAGGGTGGGGTTTAAGTAACAGGAGATGGAGGATGCTGGGGGAAAGAGGTTGGAAGCTGACACAGATGTTTGCCTTGATCAGACAGGAGGAGACAGGTGCCAGTCTCTGAGGTGAAGAGACTACAGGAAACAGTCTAGGGCAAGACAGATGACTGAAAACAAAAACAAACAAGCAAGAAAACAACAACAACAACAAAAACTAGTTACAAAGCTGGGAGGTGGTGGCACATGCCTTTAATCCTAGCACTTGGGAGACCGAGGCAGTGAGTTCAAGGCTAGCCTGGCCTACAAATCAAGTTCCAGGACAGCTAGGACTGTTACACAGAGAAACCCTGTTTTGAAAAACCAAAACCAAACCAAACCAAAAATAGTTACAAAAGAACAAATATCCTTCCTCCCTCCCTCCCTCCTTCCTTCCCTCCCTTCTTCCTTTTTTATTACTATTACTATTTAATTACACGTGTGAATACACACACTTGAGTTCAGTACCCATGGAAGGCAGGAGAGGGAATCAGATCCCCTGGAGCTGGAGTTACAAAATCTGGTCCTCTGGCAGAGCAGTGTGTTCTCTTAACCTCTGAGCCATTTCTCCAATTCTGTGTGTACTGTTTTCCTGATTGACCGGGTTGAGGGTTCAGGTACAAATCTCCAGGCTCACGATGTTTCCACTTATGAAGTTTTAGATTTATGAGTTTTCTTTTTAAGAAATTTATTACATGTATTTATTCATTTGTTTACAGTGTGTGTGTGTGTGTGTGTGTGTGTGTGTGTGTCTGCAAGCCAGAGTGTGCATGTGGCAGTCAGATGACAACTGTCAGGAGTTGCTTCTCTCCCTTCTCTTCCTCCACCACGTGGGTCCCAGGGATTGAACTCAGGTCATCAGGCTTAGCAGCAAGCACCTTCATCCCCTGAGCCATCTTACCAGCCCAGCTTAGAAGTTTTTAGCTTTAACATCACATCAAGGCAAAGCTCATTCAGTGAAACCCATTCCTCAAAGTTTGCGTTTTGACTATTTACTGGGACCATACTCTCCTGTGATTGTGGGCAGTAGGCATGGCCACAGCCCCCAGGCCATGGCCCCAAGGCCATGAGGTGTGTGGCCCATGGCTTTTCTTTTCTTTTTCCTTTTTTTTTCAAGACAGGGTTTCTCTGTGTAACAGCCCTGGCTGCCCTGTAACTTGCTTTGTAGATCTCACAGAGCTCTACCTGTTTCTGCCTCCCAAGTGCTGGGATTAAAGGTGTGCACCACCATTGTTGGGCTTTTTTTTAATGTGGCTATTCAATATGCTCAAGCTATTCAACACTTTATTATAAAATTGACTTTGTGTTCAATGATTTTGCCCTACTCTAGGCAACGGTTAGTTCCCTGGGTACATTTAAAGTAGGCAAGAGAGTTGGAGAGATAGCTCACAGTTTGAAAGTGCTCTCTGCTCCTGCAGAAGACCTGAGTTCAGTTTCAGCACCCATATCAAGCAGCTTGCATCTGCCTGTATCTCTAGCTCCATGGGATCCAACACACTCTTTTGGCCTCCATGGACACCACACTTACTTGCTTGTGTGTGCGCGCGCGTGCATACACACACACACACACACACACACACACACACACACACACACACACGGAAAAATAGTTTTCCCAACAGGAAATGTGGGCAGGGTTAAACTGGGATACCCTTTGGGTTATACGTATTAAAAGCATTCAGGCTAGTGTATGTTTCAGTACACGCTCGCGTAGCTTCCATTTAGTCTGGCTTTTAGCTCAGTACCACCATGCAGCTCCTCCTAGTTACATGTTTACAGGGTCTAGGTGTTCTGGGTTGGAGCTTCTGAAGGGGCATTACTCTTCCCATCAGGTATCAAATATTTGCCTGACTGGTCTTACCCTGCTCTACTACCCTGTGCGCTTCTGGAAGGCGGGCACCATGCCTGAATCAAGACACTGCTCCTCTGTCACTGACCCTTCCCTACCTGTATCACAAGTCACAATGAGACATCTGCTGACTCATTTGTTTTCTTGTGAGATGTGTCTTGCTATTTACTCCTGTCAGAGCCAGTAACCATGGTGTAGTTCAGACTGGCCTCACAGGAGTCCCTTTGCCACAGCCTCCCAAGGGCAGGGATTACAGAAGCACCCTGCTGAGAGTTAAAATGGACCCTGCCATGCCCACCCTCAGTTAATGAAGTGCAGAAGGCTGAGGCCCAGGAGATGACTCAGTGCTTGGTAATGTGCTTGCAAGGACGAGGAGTTGAGTTTGGATCACCAGCACACACCCAGAGCCAGGCGCAGTGGCACGGACCTACAACCATAGTGCCGGGCTGGGGGTAGAGACAACTGGGCCTGGCCAAAATGGTGAGCTCCAGGTTTAGTGAGAGATTGCGTCTTGAAAATAAGGCAGAGCGCCATAAAGGAAGACACACGATACAGACTTCTTGCCTCTGTATTCACACATATACCCACACCACACACAGATGGAACACACACATATCAAGAAAAAAACATAGGCCATGGTCCTATGTCTAGCACATCCATTCCACCTTGGAGTATCAAACCACCATCTATGACTCTCACACAGGTGTTCCTAGTACAATGCTAGGTGTTGGGGTCAGAAGAACTGGATTATGGTTTTGACTGGGATTTTGGTTTGGATTTCTCTTTATGGCCTGTTATGATAGTTCAGGCCGATCTTGAACTAACTTGAGTCTCCTGCCTATGCCTCCTGAGTCTAGGATGGTGTCTGTGCACCAGCTTTTCCGGGGAGTCTGGACAAGTTGCTTGCCTATTTCCATCTCAGCTTCAGACCTATAAAATAGAGAAAAAATAGTATCTTGCTGGTAGAGCTAGGAAGACTGGGTGCTCATTAAGTATTAAAAGTTTGGAGAAAGTAGGAATGAAAGATTTCAACAAAAATATCAGCACATGGGAGGCTGGAGAGCTGGCTCAGTGATTAAGAGTGTTGCTCTTGCAGAAGGCATTAAGTTCAGTTCCCAGCACCCACACCTGGCAGCTGACAACCTCCTTTAACTCCAGCTCTAAGGAGTCACATGCCCTCTTCTGGACTCCATGGGCACTGCACCATGTGTGCATATACCCCTACACAACATACATGCAATTCAAAATTTTAAATGTATGTGTGATAGTGGAGGGGGGGTCTCAAGGGTCCCTGCTGTCCTACCCTGACCCTCTCTCTCTTCCTCTCTTTATACAGAGTCCCCTGGTTGAACACCAGGCAGGTGGCAGCTCTGAACTCCTGCCTCCCACAGCTGAGGCGGCCCCCTCATCCACAGAGGAAGAGGTACATTATGCTTCCCTCAACTTTCATGAGATGCAGCCCAGGAATCCACAGGGGACACAGGACGCCACTGAGTACTCGGAGATAAAGTTCCACAAGTGACCTGCATAGCCGTGACCATGGCTGGAGGGAGCACAGCTGTCACAAGGTGACCGTGACACCAGATCCCGGCTGACTCTGGAGAAGCACTGAGTCCGCTGGGTCAATGCCCTGCACAGGACTTCAGAGCCGTTCGTTCCTCTTATCACACGGGAGCTCTGCTAATGCTCGTGCCCTGCACCCCCGTCTACCCAATCCTCAGGCTCTGGCAACCACTATTGTGCCCAGGAAACCATAAGCTTGACTTTCTTTTAATTGTATATGTGTGGATGTTCAGCGTGCTTGTATATCTGTGTACCACTTACATGCCTGGTGCCTGCAGAGGTCATCAGATCTCATGGACTGGAGTTACAGAGGGTTGCAAGCTGTCGCATGTGCACTGGGAAATAAATCCATGTCCTCTGCAAGAGTAGCCAGTGCTCTTAACCAGTGAGCCATCTCTCCAATCCCAAGATTGGTTTTTAGATTTAACTTTTATTTAAAAATTCGCATGTATTGTTTACAGTGTGCTGTGTTTTGTGACAATATTTTCTTCCAAGAGTATCATGTACTTTGACTTGTACATCCCTGTTACTTTCTCCTGTCTGTCTTCTGTTAGTTGCTAGTCCCCTTTCTCTATCCAAACAACCCCCTTTCTAGTTTCATGCTGTATGTATTAGTCTCCTTTCTTATTTTTGTTGACAGAAACATGAAGGGTGGAGAGGCTTTATTATTATGGTTTCTGTCTTTCATGGTGAGGTGCTTGAGACAATGGGTCCATGTGGCAGAAGCTCCACATATCTTGGTGGATCAGGAAACAGGGGGCTCAGGCCAGAACCAGAAGTAGATATCCCCTCTTCCAGGTCCAGACACATGTCTACAAGTTAGGACACATGTCTTAAAGATTCTGCAGCTTTAGAAAATATTGCCAACATCTGGGTACCAAGTGTCCAAATATATAAGCCTGTGTGAACCATATACATTCAAACCCAAACTGGATGATAAATAGAAGACAGATATGATAGAAAGGGAGATGGTAGACAGATGATAGAAGACAGATGATGTATAAAAGATAAAAGATAGATATTAGATATGAGAGAGAGAGAGAGAAAGAGAGAGAGAGAGAGAGAGAGAGAGAGAGAGAGAGAGAGAGAGAGAGAGAGAGAGAGAGAGAGAGAGAGAGAGAGAGAGAGAATTTGACAGAGATGCTGCTCAACTCTGCCTTGCTATTTGGGACATACTGATGAACACAGCTCAGAGAAAGTCAGACAAGAGTACTGCGGGATACTGAGGAGCTATCCAAAGTGTCTTAACTTGGCTACCATTTCCTGATTTTGAAAACCAGTGCATGTCTTTTGTGAGGGAAAAGCACTTTAGAATACAAAGCATAAAGAAAGAAACGAACATAAGAGGGAACACTGGTGACACTTAACATTTTTTTTGTAATTTTCTCACTTTTATGTGAACATAAAGCTGCACTGAACCTGTATTTGTACTGTACATATTACACCTATCGCTGCTGATTAATCTGTACTTCTTGATTTGTTTTTGAGACAGTATGATGGTTTGAATGAAAATGGCTCCTATAGACTCAAGAAGTGGCTATAGGAGGTGGAGCCTTGTTGGAGTAGGTGTGGCCTTTTTGGAGGCAGTATGTCACAGGGTGTAGGCTTTGAGGTTTCAGAAGCTCAACCCAGGCCCAGTGTCACTCTCTCCTGATGTCTGCCAATCCAGATATCGAGCTCTCAGCTCCTCTCCAGCACCAGGTCTGCCTACTCGCCACCATGCTTCCCGCCATGGTAATAATGGACTGAACCTCTGAACAGCCCCAATTAAATGTTATCCTTTATAAGAGTTGTCATGGTCATTAGGACTCTTCACAGAAATACAACACTGACTAAGACAGACAGGGTCACATGTATCCCAGGCTTTCTAGAACTTGCTGTGTAGCTGAGGGTGACCTTGAACTCCTGAGCCTCCTACTTCCAGCTTCTGAATCCTGGGATCACAGCTATATGTCACATGCTTTCATAAATATTCATTGTGTGTGTGAGAGAGAGAGAGAGAAAGAGAGAGAGACAGAGAGGGATGGAGGGAGAGAGAGAGAGAGGGAGGGAGAGAGAGGGAGGGAGGGAGAGAGAGAGAGACAGAGAGAGAGAGTTACAGGTGACAGTGAACCGCCCAACACAGGTGGTGGGAACCCAGCTCAGGTCCTCTGAAGGAGCAATATGCATGCTTCCTCCAGCCCCTGATCTGTTCTTTCTGTCTCTGACGTCATCTCTGTGACTCTGTGGCCCTGTCAGATGTAGCTGTGCTTATTCATCTATAACTTAGAAGACACTGGCCTTCCTCGTTGGGAAGTCCCTCTGCCAGTGTGCTTCCTAAACCTGTGTGTGTGGGAACCCATGTAAGCAAATGACACCAGTTGTCTGAGCTCAAAATCGCTTAATTTCTCTGCCAGTGGCAACACTGAACCTAGCATCTTTGAGGCTTTTTCAAGATTCCCTGGTATCAGGGAAAGGACGTGGAGTTGGAACCCCAGAGGAGAGAGGTTCTGGAATTGGAGCCTGTAGCTCTCACATGACCTCGTCCCAGCCTTGCCAGCTCTGATTGGCGATGGTGCTGCTAATGGCCAGGCTGCCTGTGGTGTCACCCCTCACCCAGATCCCACATGCAGTCTTCCAATTCATCTGGAAGCCTTGGTTTCTTCAGTTTCTTCACCTCACTGAGACTGGGATGGTTCCCTCCCCCAGAATATTCCTCCAGAGACACCCTGTGCTGGTCCTGTTCAGCTGGTACCCATGCGAGACTCCCTTGTCTCTCCCTCAACTCCTTGCCTGGCTGGGCTGTCCTCAAGATCTGCCATGGACTCTTATGTTTGGTTTCTCCTGTGGGAAGGAATGAGGGGAGAAGTCACATCTTGTATCCCTAAAGTCCTGGGAAAGAAATCGATAAAGGGACCCGCGTCTTCCCCTACGCGTGCTGTGGAAGAGATGAATCTGGGGCTTAACCTCCATGCCCATACTTTTTAAATATTAATTTATAACAATGTCAGAAAAATAATTAGCCTAACCCACCCTTCAAGCTTCACTTCTGTTGCTGTGATAAAACACTCAGCCCAAAACAATGTGGGAGGAGGGGGCTCGTCTCAGGTAACGGTTGCAGTTCATCACTGAGGGGATCGGGGCTGGGACCTGAAGCAGGCCTTACTGCTCCACACAATCTGACACCCAACTCAGAAACTCACTTGCACCCAAAGGAGGACAGCAGAAGGCATGGAGGATGCTGCTTGGTGCTTCCACAGACTGGCTTACCCTCAGCCAGCTTTCTTAAGTATTGTCACCATCCCCATGTCGCCATCGTCATTAGCAGTGCCAACTTTATCACTGCAATTTCCGTCACATATTGGATCTAGAACGTTCGCTATGGGACAACATATTAGATAGGGGTTTCATCCCCACGGTATGAAGAGTTGTGAAACCCTTAAGAGGTAGCGCCTAGAGAAAGTAACACAGGCTACTGGAGGGGCGACCACTGAGGGAGGGTTGGAAGCCTGGCTCCTTCCCCTCCCTTTGCTTTCCGCTTGTCACAAGGTGAGACGCCAGAATGCATTGCTTTGGCACTGGCCCAGTACCAACTGACCATGAACTGAAAATTGTAACACTGCGATCCAAGATATATCTTCATTTTTATATGTTAACAGAAAGCTGACTGATAGCATCACCATTGCCTTCCCTATCACCATCACCACCATCCACTACCACTATAACACCATCTCTCATTATGTCATTACCACTATAACACCTCATCACCACCATAACACCATCTCTCATTATGTCATTACCACTGTAACACCTCATCACCACCATAACACCATCTCTCATTATGTCATTACCACTGTAACACCTCATCACCACCATAACACCATCTCTCATTATGTCATTACCACTGTAACACCTCATCACCACCATAACACCATCTCTCATTATGTCATTACCACTGTAACACCTCATCACCACCATAACACCATCTCTCATTATGTCATTACCACTGTAATACCTCATCACCACCATAACACCATCTCTCATTATGTCATTACCACTGTAACACCTCATCACCACCATAACACCATCTCTCATTATGTCATTACCACTGTAACACCTCATCACCACCATAACACCATCTCTCATTATGTCATTACCACTGTAACACCTCATCACCACCATAACACCATCTCTCATTATGTGTCTCCTAGCTATCCTAGAACTCACGGTTTTGACCAGGCCACCCTAGAACCCATGGAGACCCACCTGTCCTACACCTCCCAAGTGCTGAGATAAATGGTGTGTGGCCGCATGTCCAGGAGTCTCTCACTGACCCTAGAGCTTACCATTTCAGGTAGACTGGTGGTTGGTCAGCAAGACACTAGAACACACCTGTCATCACATCCTCTGATGCTGGGCTTACAGCCACACACGGCCAAGAGTGGTTTTCACATTGGTGTAGGATATGAATTTAAATCTCCATTCTTCCATAGCAAGACCACGTGCCATCTCTCCAGCCCCATCACTATTACTAATACTGAACTCCATGCCAGGGCAATTGTGTGCTCCCAACCTGACCTTTGGAGTACTTGGAGATATTTTGAGGTATCTAAACTAGAGTGGCAGTGGATGTTACTACTATCATCTTGAGGCAGGTGCCAGGGGCAGTGCTCAACACCCTACCATGCACAGGAAATCCTTACTCTCCGTGTCTCCCATGACCAAGGCTCCCTAAGTACAGGCAGCACTGAAGCTGAGATGTGGTCTCCTCTGCTGAGAGCAGGACTAACCCTCCATCTCCAGCATCTGTCTGGAGCCCTGTTAAGGGAAGCTTTTTCTTTGAGAGGAGCCTTCCCGCCCGCCTGGTTCTAGATCCGCATGAGTCCCAAATAAACACACAGGAGGCTATATTAATTATGAAGCTGTTGGCCTTGCTTGTCTCTTACTGGCTAGCTCTGCCTTAAGTAATTACCCCATAATTGTTAATCTAAGTATGTCTCTTACCGGAGAATAGTTCCAGGCTTCCTACCCCCAATGGCGTTACATGTTGACTCTCTTGTGTTTCACCTTCCCAGAATCCTCCTCGACTCCTAGTCCCTCCTATCTAGGTTTTCTATAGGCTCAACAGTACTTTATTGACAAATAACAGGACTTCCCCAACATCTCCTCTTTTCTGTTTAAACAAAAGAAAGGTCTTAATTTTAACATAGTCAAATTGTATATAACAGAACAGTTATCAAATAAGAACATAGTTACAATATTTTTGCAAGATTTAAAGAAAATATACATCCCATCTTTGTGAGTCCAAAGTCCTATATGTAGCTTATCTTTTATCATAACTAAGGAAAACTATAATTATAAGTATCTGTCTTCAACTCCATCAAAGACCACAGAAGGATAATATATAAACACTAGGATTGACAGAGACATCTTACTGCCTGGACAGTCACCCGAAGTTCCTCTGTAACGTTGGGGCATCCATCTTCAGCCCATAGGCCACAATGTGTCTGGAACACTTCTCAGCAAAGCAGGAAATTTCAAACTGTCCATCTGCATTGGCAGTCTGTCAGTCATTTTTCTTTGTCCTGCAGACAGTCTCGTAGACTCTTCATGAAGCAGGAACCCTGTAAGACTGAGTTCAGTAGTCACTTTCCTGTGGGTCCTGCATGTCCAGTTTATACAACAGCAGTCAAACAGTCTAGGCAAGAGCAGTTTCTTGCCCAAATGGCTAATCTTGCCATGTTGAAAGCAAACTCCATGACAAGTTTCTTCGATGCCCATCTTCCTCTCAGATATAATTGGTGCTGCCAGGAGCAGACATTTCTCATTGTCAAAAAAAACCCTAGACCATTTTAAATGCCATGTTCTGAAGGTCTTTCAGAGGTTTGAAGACTGTCTATCTGTCTCAAATATATTTCTGTATATCTAGAAAACCTAACTTACCTAACTATAAATTCTAACTATTATAAGTAACTATCTATTGTCTGTATTTAATTATGCATTACATTTTAAAAGAACAGTATAAGTACAATACTTAGTCAAGAGGAGAAATATACTTATCACAAAATTGACTTTGAATTTGTATCAATAAATGAAAAACAATACCCATGCCCTAATTCCCTTTTTTACCATTAAAAAAGATTGGCTGTGATCATTAGCCAATTATAAACAATCCCATTTAAATGAAAACAAAGATTTATAAACAAGATGGGAATTGGGACGTCGCTCATTCCAAACTGCTTCCTGCTGGAAGGGGGCGCTGTTTATACCATGGGGACAATGACAAAACTCAGAAACCTGTATAAGTCCGTATTTTCGGGGTCTGTAAAGCTGTATCATCTTAGCTGTCTCAGTCGTTGGAACACCTGGTCCACTGCTTCCGGGGGTCTTGGTTCGTGAAACCACAGAAGCCTGGAAGGAATTCTCAGCTTTTCATTTTCTGTAGAAACATAAATAAAATCTCCTTTTCCGAGTAACATATCCTTATACTTAAATTTTGAAGTCAAGGCATTTTCAAAAGATATAAGTTGAATTAATTTAGCAGCATTTATAATCAAGTGTACTTTAGCAGCTGTTCCTTCCTGAGCAATTATAAAACTGAAAAACACAATAGTGTACAGTATCCAGACTCTCTGTGTATTTTCCATCTTTGTGTGGCTTATTTATTTATCTATTATTATTATTACTCTATTTCTTTCACTTTTGTTTCTTTTTCTCTGAGACAGGGTTTCTCTTCGGAATCCTGCCTGCCTCTGCCTCTGGGGCAATTCCTACCGGCGTGCGCCACCACAGCCGGCTTTTGCATTTATTTACCACTTTGCCGTTTCATTTTCTCTCTCAGTCTCACGTATATTTTTAAACACACTGTAAACCTTTAGAGGTTTTGTTCATCCAAGTCTGACTTTACTGTAAATCTTTATGTTTTTCTGGCCACGTGTCTTATCTGTAAAACCGTGGCTGTTTTAAACTGCCGTTTCAAGATGGCGGGCGTAAGCGTGACTCCAGCTTACCGCCTCAGTCCATGCTGACATCCAGCAAAAGCTGCCACTTCCAGCTGTACGTACACCCCTTTCAATCGGTAGCAGAGTCTCTTAAAACAACCTTGCTGTTTTTTTTTTCTTTTTATGCTGAGTCAGGAAGACTCTGGTAAACGAGCCATGTGAATCTTGGCTTGTCGATAGCAAAACAGAGCACACCTGAGAAAAATGCTGCTACCAAAATCTGTGCTTCTCTCTGTTCTTCTGTTTTTAAAATTCCTTTAAAGCTTTTGTTATTTTGTGTGGAAATTCATGATCCCACTCCTGATCACCATTCTGTTAAGAGAAGCTTTTTCCTTGCTAGCCGCTTTGGTTTATCCCCCGCCAGTCGCCTGGGCTCTGCCGCGCCAGCCTGGTTCTAGAGCCGCATTAGTCCCAAATAAACACACAGGAGGCTATATTAATTATGAAGCTGTTGGCCTTGCTTGTCTCTTACTGGCTAGCTCTGCCTTAAGTAATTACCCCATAATTGTTAATCTAAGTATGTTTCTTACCGGGGAGGTTCCAGGCTTCCTACCCCAATGGCGGTTACATCTCGAACTCTCTTGTGTATCTCCTTCCCAGAATCCTCCTGGACTCCTAGCCCCACCTATCTAGATTCCTATTGGCCAGACAGTCTTTATTGACAAATGCACAGGACTTCCCCCAACAGAGCCCCACATCACGAGTCCTCTCTCCACTAGCTACTGGTACTGAGAGTCTATTTGTCTGCCTCCTGTGAAGCCTGGTGCCCAGTTTCTGACTTGTTTCTCCATCTGGCCATGTCTCCTGAGTCATGAAGCCCAGCCCTGACCCGGTGATGTAAAACAGTGCTTTACCTGATGGAGCAAAATATAATCAGGGTGTATACCAGGATTCCACAGATGTAGGCACTGCCCAGGGATGCGAATATGATGAGAAATACTACCAAGGACCCTGAGATGTAGAACTCTCTGTGGACAGCAGGCAGTGGCCCTGGATGGAGAGGACAACAGGACATCAGGACACCACACTCATTCAACTCATCCCTCTACCCACTGCCATAGTCAGAGTTTCTTTGGATGTGATAAGATGCCACGACAAGATGCAACTTGAAGAGGAAAGGGTTTACTTCATCTTACAGTCTATCATGAAGGGAAGTCAGGACAGGAACTCGAGCAGAAACCCAGAGACCGGAACTGAAACTCAGGCCGTGAGGATGCTGCTTACTGACTTGCTCTCCATGATTTGCTCAGCTTGCTTTCTTATAGAACCCAGGACCACCAGTTGCCCAGGGGTAGCACCACGGTGGACTGGACCCTCTCACATCAATCATTAATCAAGAAAATGCCCCACACGTTTGTCTACAGGCCAATCTTATGGAGGCGTTTTCCTCAGTTAAGATGCCCTCTTTCCAGATACGTCTAGGCTTGTGGAAGTTGACAAAACCAACAGCACACAATGATTTATCAGCACCCACTATGTACAAAGCACTACTCAGGTATCCGGGATTCATCAATAACCAAAGTCAATTCCTTGGGTCTGGTGAGATAGGCCAGCTTGTAAAGCGCTTGCTTGTCAAGCAGGCCCGATGACCTGCACTCAGTGCCTGGAACCCATGCAAAGGGCGAAGGTAAGCCGACTCCACAAAGTCGGCCTCCCACCTCCAGGTGCTCCGTAGTGAGTGGGCACCTCTACACGCACACAGCATGGACACAGCAAAAGTAGTGAGTGGGCACCTCTACACGCACACACCAGGGACACAGCAAAAGTAGTGAGTGGGCACCTCTACACGCACACACCAGGGACACAGCAAAAGTAGTGAGTGGGCACCTCTACACGCACACAGCATGGACACAGCAAAAGTAGTGAGTGGGCACCTCTACACGCACACACCAGGGACACAGCAAAAGTAGTGAGTGGGCACCTCTACACGCACACAGCATGGACACAGCAAAAGTAGTGAGTGGGCACCTCTACACGCACACACCAGGGACACAGCAAAAGTAGTGAGTGGGCACCTCTACACGCACACAGCATGGACACAGCAAAAGTAGTGAGTGGGCACCTCTACACGCACACACCAGGGACACAGCAAAAGTAGTGAGTGGGCACCTCTACACGCACACACCAGGGACACAGCAAAAGTAGTGAGTGGGCACCTCTACACGCACACACCAGGGACACAGCAAAAGTAAAGTAAACCGGGTGGGAGGACGGGATGCTTGGTGTCGCCAACTTGGCTGATGTGGAGTCACCAACACATGCGGCATGACCGGGAGGGCGCTTGAGGGGTTTGGTGGAGGAGGGAGAACCATCCCAGGGCTGAGACCCTGGCCTAGATCACAAGTTAGTCGAGTATTAACTGCAGGTGCAGTGTGCCCTCACACTCCTGACGCCCTGACACCATGCACCATCATCTCGCTGATTTTGCTAGGTATTTGTCACAGCGGTGAGAAGTGACTAATACAGATGCTGATAGTGGACCATGGGCAGAGACGGCTGGCATACTAGCTCCTGAGGATAGGGAGTTACGAGGGGAGAAGTTACGCAGGCTCACTGATTCCAAAGCACTAGCGACATGCCAGACACTGTGTTAAGGGACAAGCAATGAGCTAATGCAAGCCGGCCCTTCCTTCCTGAAGCTGAGAGGCTTGTGGAGTGGGGAACTGAGCCGCGGAGTCTCAGAAATATGCCATGCTGAATCAGCTCAGCTTCTCCGGGATGCACAGGCAGGCTGGCCACCCTTGGGGCCGTTTTCTGCAATGTTCTGATTGCCACAGCACTCTACAGTAGAGGGGCTTGTCCTGGAACTGCACGTGGGAAAACAGTCTGGAAATGGTGAAATTCTTGCTCCTGGTTCACATTAGTAGCAGGGGTAGAATTTGAATCTGAATCCTTTGAGTCTGGAACATTGCGTGTGTGTGTGTGTGTGTGTGTGTGTGTGTGTGTGTGTGTGTGTGTGTGTGTGTGTGTTTGAGACAGGATCCCACTGTATATCCCTGCCTGTCCTAAAATTCTCTATATAGACCAGGCTGGTCTCTAACCCTGCTTCTGCCTCCCACATGCCATAGTATCCCACCCTATCTCTGCTTTCAAGACCAGTTTCCCACTGGTCTGGAGCTCTTGAAGTGGGCTGGGCTGGCTGGCCTGAGGGTCCCAGGGATCCTCCTGTCTCTGCCCACCCCAGTGCTGGGATCACAAGCACACCACCACACAAGCACACCACCACACAAGCACGCCACCACACAAGCACGCCACCACACAAGCACGCCACCACACAAGCACACCACCACGGCGGACTCTTTCACCTGGGTTCTGGACTCAGGTCCTCATGCTCACACAGCAGGCACTTTACGGAGTCAAACTCTGGCAGAGTCCCACTGCTTACCGCCCCTTTCCTTGGCTCGTTCCCTAATTATGTTCATTTCTCTCTTTCTAGCAAATGGCTGAACTGTGTGGCTGCTGGAGAGAAAGAGGTGTTTTCCTTATTTTCAAAGTCGCCCCAAGTTCCTGATTTTCAAACCACAAGCAGTATCTATTTCTGCAGTGTCTGGACTTCCGCCCGTCTTCCTGCTTTCTCCCCTGGGAGGTACTGTATGGACGCTTGGAGGACAACGAGTCTGTCCACTTTCCCATCAGCAGTGGGGTCAGGTAATCAGCTCCCTGGGGCGGGCTTCCTCACTTGTGAGTCACTCACTGTGCCAGGAGACCAGGACAGGCACACAGGCCAGAGCTGTAGCTGGCACACAGAAAGTAAAAGCTGGCCAGTCTTGTTTCTGGTGGAATTTGCTCTGACTCCAGATTTGGACAGGTTCTTAGAGGATGTCACGGAAGGGCTGTAGCAAGCCTGAGCATGACAAACACGGCTCTGGTCTTGCCCTTCCCCCATTCTCTCTGCCTTGCTAAACTGTTAGGTCATATTCCCAAAGCTGTCACCAAGGTCTGTCCCCTTATTTGGCCATTTCCTCCTCCTGAAGCTGACTGCTTTGGCTACCCTACTTAACATGGCCAATTAAAACTAAACACCTCATCCTCACACAGGGTTTCCCTTTCCCCTTTATAAACTGCCATTTGCCCATGGGCCACATCTGTGGGCTCTCTATCCAGACAGTCCTTTGTCCCCCAGGACAAACATCCCTGCCCCCTTTCCCTTGTCCCTCACCCTCTATCTCCTGTCTTTGTCTCCTATTCCCTGCCCTCTGGGGCAAACAAACCTCTTTGTGCTGAGCTTGGTCTTGGTGTGTCCTGTGCTGACACAGTCCTTTCAAGTCACCAGAAGCTGTGAATGGGGTCTAGCAAGAGAAGGGCCTCCTGACACAGGCACTGCCTAAACAAAACCGTGTGGGCAGGAAAGTCTGGAGAGCATGGTGGGTGCACTCACCAGGTGACCGGATGGTGACATCCCTGTAGAAGGCCAGATGGGTCTCCAGGTTCTTCACAACGCACCGGTAGCTGCCCATTTGCTCCCAGGACAGACTGGGAAGGGCCATGCTCTCCTCTGAGACACTTAGGAGGGAGCCATTGTGGATCCAGTGGAACTTGGGCTCTGGCCTGGAGAAACAGGCACATTCCAGCTGCACACTGGAGCCAGTAACAGCAGTCAGCACACCATCGAAGACATCTGGCTGCGTCCACAGTGATACACAGTCTGGCCCATCTGTAGAGACAGGGCAGGAGACCACAGTTACACTTCCGATCCCTCTTGGGATGGCATCCTGTCCTCCAGACACAAGGTGTCCCACTATGTGCAATGAGCCTTCCCCAGGTGACAACTGAAACACAGCAATGGTAGCTTCCACTCCAAGTTCTTGTACCTACTGTGGGATAAACTTTGGTAGCCCTAAACACCATAGTAAGAGGCATATAGCAAAGCAGAAAAACTTCACACTGTGTGGAAGGAACCAAGCTATATTTCACAAGCATGTAATTCACAAAACTCATGCCAGTTGGTTCCAGAAATGGTCCATCTTACAGATGCAAATCTCAGAGGAGAGGGAGAGAGTTCAAGCTCCCTGTCCACACAATGGCAGCAAGTAGCTGGGGCTTAGCTACAGTCTAGGGAGGCCAGTCTTGGTTCCAACCTGAAACCCATAAATGGTAGCATGGAGGTCAGAGGTTGTCTGTCCATCTGTGAATTAGTTTTCTCCAGATGGTGCCACAGCCTTCACCTTCAGGAACATGAGGACCACTGAGCCGTTCCTAACTAAAATGTGAAAATCATTTGAGATGTCTGATTATGATTTTCAGTTGAGAATAAACTTTGCCTGTATATGTCTTTGTGAAGGTGTCAGATCCTTGAAACTAGAGCTACAGGCAGTTATGAACTGCCATGTGGATACTGGGAATTGAACTTGAGTCCTGTAGAAGAGGAGTCAGTGCTCTTAACCACTGAGCCATCTCTGCAGCCCCAAGACAGTTCTGAGTCGAAAGATTCTGAGTGGGTGTTTAGTTGTTCCTCATATTTGTTGTTGCTGCTGTGCTTGGGATCACATGGCTTCAAGCATTCTAGACAGGCACTCCACTACTGAGCTGTACCTAGCCCTGCCCTGGGGGCAGGGATTCTGTTCTGGGACTCTATCACTCAACTCTCCCACACCAGGATTAAATCTGTAAATCCAGCTTGTTGCTGAGGGGAGTATAATCCACACAACTGGAGCAAGAATAAAAAGTGAAGGAGACTTTCCTAAGTTCAGAAGAAAAGAATAAAGTCAGTGAACAGAGCTGAAGGTTTCAGAGAGTTAATAACTAAATATTAATCTAAACACAACTGGGGATGAGGAGATGACTCAGCTGCCAAGAGTGCTTGTTGTTCTTATAAGGGAACTGAGTTTGATTCCCAGCACACACACCAGGCAGTTCATAACTGCCTGTAATTCCATCTCCAAGAGATCTAACACCCTATTTGGCCTCTGTTCACGCACACACACACACACACACTATATATATATATATATATATATATATATATATATATATATATGTATATATACTCACACAGATATATATATATACATAAACAAAAGCAAACAAAAAATGTAAAATTGTTATTTGAAATAAAAGTAAGATTAAAGATTGGTTGTAATCTGCTCCCCCCTCTCTGTGTGTATGTGTGTGTGTGTATGTGAATTGTGTGGTATGTGGTGGATTCACACACATGTACATGAAGTTGTGGGTGCATACATGACTTGCATGTGCAGGTCAGAGGTCAACATCACATGCATTCTTCAACCACTCTAGTCATCTTTATTTTTTTAATTGAAAAACTTGTTTTCATACAATATATTCTGATGATGATTTTCTATTCTTCCAACTCCCCCCCAGATTCTCCCCACCTCCCTACACACCCAAATCCAGGTCTTTCTCTCTCTCTCTTTAAAAAACAAATAAAGAACAAAACAATCTAGATAGGATTCATGTGTTCTGGCCAGGATGGCTGCCAGTGAGCCCCAGCGTTCCACCTGTATCCACCTCCCCAGCCCCGGACTTCCAGGCATGCACCACCACACTCAGCATTTATGCCAACGGTGGGGATCCCAATGCACGTCCTCCTGCTGGTTCAAGGACAGCACTTTCCCAGCCCCACATGCCTCTCCTAAAAAACAAGCAACCAAAGAAAGCGGGTCTCGGTAAATTCATACTGGCCATTTCTAATCTCAGAATGCGGGTCTCAGTAAACTCATACTGGCCATTTCTAATCTCAGAATTCGGGTTACATCTCTCTCCTGAAGTCCAACACCCCATGTGGAGGGCAGTTGTGAACACACAGAGCTAAATGGATAGAGTGGGCTGCAGGCTGGCTCAGCCTTTCTCCTCAGTACATACTACACCTACCCCTGGTATCCCTTCCCCTCCCCTGGGCACTCACAGCCCACACTCAGAGGGATCTCCTCACTTCTCTGAAGCATTTCCGGGAAATCTTCTATGGCACACTGAAGATTTCGGTCAGAGCGACTGACCCTGTGGATGACCAGAGTCTTGCCATCTGGGGAAATCGTCATGCGGTTATTGCCTAAAGTTGGTACAGAATTCACATACCACTTGATGTTGGAGGTTGGTAAGACATTTAGCAACCACAGAATCCATGCCTTCCACCAGGACACTGGCATTGGCTGAGCTGCCCGGAATGTTTCCCAACCCTGTGTGGAGCAGGAGGAACAGGTAAGGCATAGATCCAGCTTTTTCAATTGGGGAATGCTGAAGATTCGGCGTGGTGGAGAGACGTCAGGAGCTCTAAGATAAGGCGAAAGAGAAGCCCCAGAGCTGACAAGGGGGTGGGCAATGCACTGCACAGACCCAGGCAGGGCCTGAGCCATTCTGTACCTCAGCTTCAATGACAGCAATTCTTGGTCATGAACAGGTGGCCTAATGGTTTTCTCTCTGTGTGCCTGTGTATACAGGACATGTGTTTATGGATGAGAGTAACAAAATTACAGTTGCGGGGTAGCGATGAAATAAATTTATGGTTGGGGGTCAACACAACATGAGGAACTGTATTAAAGAGTCACAGCATACAAGGCTGAGAACCACTGCTCTAAAGTGGGGATGTTACACAAAGGTGGGAAATAAAATCTTCACACTTCAAGAGTGTTGAAAGTGTTGAGTGTCCCATCTGTGCAGCAAAAGTTAGAGAGTCACTGTCAGGCACCTGAGACTGTACAATATGCCCTCCAAGGAATCTCCCTACCAGAGCCCGTAGGACTACTTCCCCTTTTTGTTGGGAAATTAGTTGCCAACTCACTTAGAATCTCCAGCCAGCCAGTCGCTCTTTGGGTCCCATTGCCATATCCACCTCAACAGTATAGTAACCTGTGTCATTTAACGCCAACCTCCTGATCCCCAGGCTACCTGCATGGGTCACATTCTCACGACCAGTGTACAATGGTCCAGGGTGTCGGGGATTTGGGGGTTTTTAGCTGAAAATCATTTTTCCTGTACTGTTGTCCATACCCTGGTACCAGCTGTACTCCAGGACATCTTCTGGGACATTTTCTAGGGTCAGAATGGTCCGGTAACTCTCCACCCCAGTGAGTGAGTCTGGGCTGATTAAGATCTGGCCAGAAGCTTGGCAAATCCCACGTGTCAGCAAACTGGCTGAGGAAACCAAAGAGTAGGGAGGGGAAGGGGAGGAGAGGGGAGAAGGAAAGGGAAAGGGAGAGGATTAGGGGGAGGGGAAGGAGGAAAGGAGGGGGAGAGAGATCCAGGTAATTATTTTTACAATTCTGTAACTCAGAATTTGAATCTGCAATGTCTCCCATAGGCAGAGTTTGAACCCTTGGTTCCCAGCTGGTGGCGCTAGCTTGGGAGGCTGTGGCGTTTTGGGGGTGAGGTCTTAGTGGTGGAAGTAGTAAGTCTTTAGAGCTCATTGGCAGCCCCTGGCTCTGCCCTGCTCTGTGCTCCTGGTGTGAGCACGGTGTGATGAGCCTCCACCACACTCTGCTGCTGCCATGAGCTGAACTGCTTCACCATGCCCCACCCCCAGTACACTGGACTAAAACAAGAGCCAATAAGCTTTCCCTTCCTTGTTCCTGTCAGGAATTGTCACAGTGACTCCAAAACAACTAATACTATAAATTGAGTTCCCAGTACAGCTGGTTTAGAATTGGCTTATCTTGTAGAGGCCCTGACTCTGGCTCCCAACACCCACAGTGGGTTGTTTACAACTACTGTAACTCCATCTCCAGGGTCTCTGATGCCCTTTTGTGGCCTCCATGGATACATATGGTGACATACATACACCTGAGCACACACATACACACATCACCTAGAAAGATAAATCTCTGAGGGTTTCCGGTTCAGGAATGACCCCATTTCCTCAGTCCTGTGGTATCCATTTTCCTTATCTTCTCCCATCCATTCTTCCCAGGACAGCCATGTGGATCTTAATGAAACCCAAGTTGTGGCCTGCTCTCCTCTGTTCAGTAACCTTCCCCGTATGCTGCTCCCCGTCCCTGACAGAGATCTTGCTCCACTCTCCCCGTTTGCAGCCTCCCTGTGGACTCTCCTTCATCCTTATATCTGATGGCTCCTGACCAGCCCGGGACACGTGACCCTTCTGGGTTTCCTGGCATCCTGAGATCCCGTACTCCAGCCTCGGCCACTGAGATTTTTAGTTTGAGGTCAGACCTGTGAGCTCCAGGCAGACAGCCCTGGGTACACAGCTTTCCAACTGATGTATGGGGCAGCTCCTAGCAAGACTATGGGGTGGGGGAGGGGTAAATTCAGGGAAGTCTCTGAGACTGTCTGACACAATTTTGACAGAAGAGAGTGTGGATGGGGTGGACTGCTACCCCCTTGGACACAAATTGGTGTCCCCTACTCTGTAATGACTGAGGTTTGGCTATGGGGAAAGTAAAGGTGCCAGAGACCCCACTCACCACTGCAGGGTGAACACTGACATATTCAAAGCCAGTATCTGTATGTGTTAGGGAGCCTAGAGGGTCCTGGGGAAGGAGGGGGGTTAGAGAGGGACCTAGGCTGGGTGGGAAGGGAATCCAGACAGATAGGGGAACCCCAGGGAACAAGGAGTAACTGCAGGGAGGAGGGGTCCAAGTTCATCAGTCACATGGCAGGTGGATTCTCTCTCTCTCTTCCTCTCTCCCTCTGTCCTTCCCCCCCCCCTCTCTCCCTCCCTCCCTCTCTCTCTCCCTCCCTCTCTCTCTCTCCCTCCCTCCCTTCCTCTCTCTCTCCCTCCCTCCCTCTCCCTTCCTCTCTCTCTCTCCCTCCTTCCCTCTCTCTCTCCCTCCCTCCCTCCCTCCCTCTCTCTCTCTCTCCCCCTCCCTCCCCTCTCCCTCCCTCCCTCCCTCTCCTCCTCCCTCTCTCTGCACATCCTTGCCATGGCTGTGTGTATGCATATGTCTGAGCCTGTGTCTCATCTGTCTGTGTCTCCTATGGGTGAGATATACCCAGTTGTGCGTGCTCTCCAAAGTCCCGGTGGGGGCCTGTCTCTGACCTTCTTCCTGCTGCTTGCATCTTCAGACTTCCGGGTTATGCCTCGGGTAGGTCTGTTTCCTACCCCTTCCCAGCTGAGTTCTTGGCTGCCCTCGCCTCAGCCTCGGGAGATTCTTCTCCCCCTTACCTATAAGGGTGAGCCACCTCCAGGGACTGCAGCTCGACCTGGAAAAGTCATGAGCTTCTTCGGTACTTGGATGGTGCCCTGGCCTCCCCACTCCAATGTGGATTCTAAGATGGACTCTGCCCAGCGGGGAGGGTGGACCTGAAGCAGCCACCTCTTACCTTTATGGTTTTATATTGTCTTTCAGCATTAACTTATCTTACATTTATACCTATTAATATTTTTTCCTAGCTATGACACCAACAATGTCAGCTTCTTGCTAGTTTTCCAAAACTGGGAAATACAGAAAAGCAGTTACAAAGGCAAGAGCATCATGTATCTGTTGGGTGTGTCATTTTTTTGTTCCAGCACTGGGGAATGAACACAGGACGTAGTGTGCTAGGCAAATGCTCTACCACCAAGCTATATTCCCAACCACAAACAGTCCTTTGTGTGTGTGCTAGGGATTGAACCCAGGACCTTCCCTATCTTTATGTTTTCTTGAACGTATTATTTATTTATTGAGAGAGAGAAAATGCCATTGTGTGTAGCTGGAGAACACACAGGAGTATGTAATCAGGCTTGGTGACAAGCACTTTTACCTTCCAAGTCCTCTTTTCAGCCCAAGGCCATTACATTTTAATGTTACGACTCCTTTCCATTTTATCTGGTATTCCTGTGATCAGCCTTTTGATGGCTTTGACTTGGGTTATGACTATGTTCTTCCTCTCCACATCATAATTCCCCATGTCACACTCCCCCATGTTCTTCGTCAGGCCATTTTTATTAAGTTATTTATTAATTTTACATCGCAACGGCAGCCTCCCCTCCCTCCTCTCCTCCCATTCCATTCCCCACCTCCTATCCACCCCAACTCACACTCCCTCCACATTCGCTCAGAAGGGCGCAGGTTTCCCGTGGGCATCAGCAAAGCATGGCATATCAAGCTGCCATAAGAGCAAGTGCCTCCCTCTATTCAGGCTGGGCAAGGCGCTCCAGCATGAGGAATAGGTTCGCAGGAGCCAGCCAAAGCACCAGGGACAGCCCTGCTCCCTGTGTTGTCAGGCCATTTTTAAAGGCCTGTACTAGCTCCGCTCAATGGAAGGTTTGTGATGTCACACACCCAGAGGACAACAAACCACGTATATGGTGGCAGCCCCTTGGTATTAAAACAGAGGAGAAAATTGCTACCACCTAGGGTAGCCACGGGAACAGTACGGGTCATGGTGCTCATGTAAACAGACAATAGCTAACGTGCTTTTTCTACTGTAGTGATAAAACACTATGACCAAAAGTACCTCGGGGAGGAAAGGGTTGTTTCAGAGCACAGCTCCACACTCCATCACTGAGAGAAGTCAGGGCAGAGACTGGAGGCAGAGACCATGCAGGATGCTGTTTACATGCCTGCCTCTCATTCCTTACTCAGTCTGCTTCCTTAGACAACCCAGGATCTCTGCCCCGAGGTGGCACCACCCACGGAGAGCTGAGACTTCCCACAACAATCACTTCAAGAAAGGCCATCCAGGGGAAGCATTTTCTCAATTGAGGTTCTTCTTCCCAAATATGTCTTGGTTTGTGCCAAACTGATTAACAAAACAAAACAGAACAAACAAACAAAAAACCCAGCCAGCACACAGACCTACTGTGCTCCAGCTAGGACCTACTTACTGCCCTTAACAACCTTCTTGCAATAGGGTGAGCCCATTGGTTACATCAGAGCTCTCATGACCTAACTACCTGGACACACCCTCTGAGACATTCTCCTAGGCATTTCCAGAACACTAAGTAGACATCATTAGGCATCACAGGGCTGGAAAGATGGCTCTGCAGTTAAAAGCACTTGCTGCTGTTGCGCAGGACCCAGATTTGGTTCCCAACACCAACATGGTAGAAGATAACTGCCTGTAATTCCAGCTCCAGGAGAATCAATACCCTTTTCTGACCCCCATGGGCTTCTGCATGCATACAGGGCACATAAACTCATAAACATACATACACACACATAAACCAACAAAACCTCAAAATGTATGTGTGTGGGGAGGTGCTGGAGAAATGGCTAAGCAGTTAAGAGAGAGTACTGCTCTTGTAGAGTTTTGGTTCCCAGAATGTACTTCAGGCAGCTGACAAATCCAGCACCAGGGACCTGATGCCCTCTTCTGGACTACATGAGTATCTACACATACATGCATATTATTCACCCCCCACCCATACCCACACAAACACAAAATTATTGAAAATAATCTTACAAATCACTCATTAAGAAAAATTAAGTGCCACTGTAGTGCCACCAGCCCCAAATAATGGCATGGAGACTTATTATTAATTATGAAAGCTCAGCCTTAGCTTCGGCTTTTCCTAACTAGTTCTTTTAACTTAAACTAGCCCTTGTTTTTTAATCCACATTCTGTTACATAGCTCCTTGCCTCATCTCTCCATATTGCCTATCCTGCTTCTTCTTCCACGTCTGGCTGGTTACTCTGCCTTGCTTCTTCCCAAAGTTCTCTCTCTGCCTAGAAGTCCCTCCCACCTATGCCTCCTGCCTAGCTATTGGCTGTTCACCTTTTTATTAGGCCAATCACAGCAATACACCTCCACACAGCATAAAACATCACACATTTCCCTCCTTTTCTCTAAATAAAAGGGGAAGATTTTAACTCTAACACAGTAAAATAATATACAATATGAACAATTATCAGGTAAGATTTACATTTAAAATGTCCAATCTATCTGTATTTGGCAAATTTAGAGAAACTATTCCATTAATTATCCTATCTTGGTGAATCAAAAGTTTTGCACCTAATTTACTTTTTTTTTTTGTTTTTTTTTTGTTTTGTTTTTGTTTTTTC